GGTACTATAATCCCTATGACAATGAAGGACTCTTAGTATAAGGACCCAAAACCCAAAACCCAAAACCCTAAACCCTAAACCCAAAACCCTGAACCCTAAACCCTCAACCCTAAACCCTAACCCCTAAACCCTAAAACCCTAAACCCAGGAAGTACAATAATCCCTATTAAGGACTGTGAGTATAAGGGGGAACTCCCCAGGCGGATTGCTTTGTAACTTCCGTCCTGGCCACTTTTGGTGAAATGAGTCTTGGAGGTGTTTAGGGTTTAGGGTTTAGGGCAGTTTAGGGTTTGGGAACGATAGCCTCTTAAACCCCTAACCCTAAGCTTTCAAACCAACCTAAACTCCCCAAACAAACTCCTTAAATTCCCTGAGCCCTGTACTCATTGCCAACGCCTCTAAACTCCCTACAGCCCCCGAAATCCCCAAACCCCCTCGCAGATCCCAGGTTCTCTTGGCTGGAAACATCGGCGTGCAATGATGCAGGAGGACCCGCACAAGGGCCGAGTGCATGCTTTTGGGGTTTCGGGCTTGGTTTGGGTGAGTGAGGGTCTGAGGTTTGGGGTTTCGGGTTTGGGTGTGGGGTTTAGGGTTCAAAACCTCACACCAACAACACCCTTAGATGGTTGTCGGTTGCACGTACGGCACCGGACGCCAGCGCACGTCTCATGCTTGAGTGTCGCTGGAGCAAATGTACCCATGCTGCATCTCTGAAACCCTAAGCCCTTAACTCTGAACCCTAAACCCTAAACCCTAAACCCTAAACCCTAAACCCTAAACCCTAAACCCTAAACCCTAAACCCTACACCCTAAACGGAGGGCCTATTTTTTTGGGTCTTTTTTTTTTTTTTTTTTGGGCCTTTTTTTTTTTTTTTGGTCGATTTTCTTGGTTTTTCCTAAGAAAACCACCATTCCCTCCATATTTTTAAAGGATTTGATGCATTTTCGTGGTTTTTGGTACGAAAAACAGTAATTTCTCTGTGGTTTCATAGGAAAGCGTTATTTCTGGTACGTTTTAGAAGGAAAGAAGGAAAGAAAGGAAGGAAGGAAGGATGAAAGAAAGGAAGAAAACAAGGAAGGAAGGAAGGAAGGAAGGAAGGAAGAAAGGAGGGAAGGAAGAAAGGAAGGAAACAAGGAAGGAAGAAAGGAAGAAAGGAAGGAAGCAAGGAAGGAAGAAAGGAAACGTGCTTCGAAGCCCAAGAAACTAGTTGAAAAACATCGTGTGAGCATTGTGTTTGCAAATGGGGGGGGCTGCGCCCCCCCCAACCCCCCGCTCTTTTTTTTAAAGCCGTGCAGAGCGTGCTTCAACGCCCAAGAAACTTGTTGACACCCATCATGTGAGCAGGGTGTTTGCAAATGGGGGGGGGGGCTGCGCCCCCCCCAACCCCCCCCGCTTCTTTTAAGCCGTACCAAGCGTGCTTCAAAGCCCAAGAAACTAGTTGAAAAACATCGTGTGAGCAGTGTGTTTGCAAATGGGGGGGGCTGCGCCCCCCCCAACCCCCCCGCTTTTTTTAAGCCGTGCAGAGCGTGCTTCAAAGCCCAAGAAACTTGTTGACACCCATCATGTGAGCAGGGTGTTTGCAAATGGGGGGAGGCTGCGCCCCCCCCAACCCCCCCCGCTTCTTTTAAGCCGTACCAAGCGTGCTTCCCAACCCAAGAAACTAGTTGAAAAACATCGTGTGAGCATTGCAAATGGGGGGGGCTGCGCCCCCCCCAACCCCCCCGCTTCTTTTAAGCTGTACCAAGCGTGCTTCAAAGCCCAAGAAACTAGTTGAAAAACATCGTGTGTGCATTGTGTTTGCAAATGGGGGGGGGCTGCGCCCCCCCCAACCCCCCCGCTTTTTTTAAGCCGTGCAGAGCGTGCTTCAAAGCCCAAGAAATTTGTTGACACCCATCATGTGAGCAGGGTGTTTGCAAATGGGGGGGGGGGCTGCGCCCCCCCAACCGCCCCCCCGCTTCTGTTAAGCCGTACCAAGCGTGCTTCAAAGCCCGAGAAACTAGTTGAAAAAAAAGTATGAATCCGATGAAAATATAGAGGGAATGATAGAAACCAAGAAAACGAACCAAATAGGGTTTTCCCTAGGACAAACTAAGGAAAAGCAACGTGCGCTTTGACGTTTGACGAAATCCGTCCAAAATGTAATCAGAAGAGGGTTTCCTTAGGAAAAACCAACGAAAACCTCGTTTTTTTTTCAAGCCGTGCAGAGCGTGCTTCAAAGCCCAAGAAACTTGTTGACGCCCGTCATGTGAGCAGGGTGTTTGCAAATGGGGGGGGGGGAGAGGTGTTTTCCCCCAACCCCCCCCGCTTCTTTTAAGTCGTACCAAGCGTGCTTCAAAGCCCAAGAAACTAGTTGAAAAGCATCGTGTGAGCATTGTGTTTGCAAATGGGGGGGGCTGCGCCCCCCCCAACCCCCCCGCTTTTTTTTGTTTTTTAAGCCGTGCAGAGCGCGCTTCAAAGCCCAAGAAACTTGTTGACACCCATCATGTGAGCAGGGTGTTTGCAAATGGGGGGTGGCTGCGCCCCCCCCCAACCCCCCCTGCTTCTTTTAAGCCGTACCAAGCGTGCTTCCCAACCCAAGAAACTAGTTGAAAAACATCGTGTGAGCATTGCAAATGGGGGGGGCTGCGCCCCCCCCAACCCCCCCGCTTCTTTTAAGCTGTACCAAGCGTGCTTCAAAGCCCAAGAAACTAGTTGAAAAACATCGTGTGTGCATTGTGTTTGCAAATGGGGGGGGCTGCGCCCCCCCCAACCCCCCCGCTTTTTTTAAGCCGTGCAGAGCGTGCTTCAACCTAAGGGAAATTACAGGAAATCCGTCCAAAATGTAAAAAAATAGGTTTTTCCCTATGAAAAACCAACGAAAACCTCAGGGAAATGACAGAAAATCCGTCCAAAATGTAAGGAAAGTAGGGTTTTTCCTAGAGAAAACCAAGGAAATCGACCAAAAAAAAAAATGGCCAAAAAAAAAAAAAAAAGACCCAAAAAAAAACTCCACCCGTTTTGTAGGGTCTGGCACCTTCGTGTACAGTCCATGCATTTTCGCATACAGATGGTACTTTACTTTGCAATCTTATCTGACAGTAATTGCTTGTGTCTCTTGTTAGCTTGTTGCAAACATGTTGCTGCTGTGCGTATTTGTGTTGGCACATTTGGCCCCGACCTGAACTGCGCTGTACAGTGTGTGCATGGTTGAGGGTGCTGCACGTATTTTTACCTTGGCAAACTCCTGTGAACTTAGTCATGTGTCGTGCACGGCTCGTGAAGTCCTTGCCGAAGGCTCGTTTGATACTGGTGTTTTTGTGCCTTTGCTTTTTGTTGGTGATGCTTCAGGGGACGAAGCTCCCGCGCTTGGGTTTCGGACAGAGACCTGTTGTCGGAGACTTGAGTATAAAGGGCATGTGTCAGGTCAGTTTGCCTGGAGCAGCTTGTGAGTTAGCCTTTCCGAGGTGCTGCGGGGGCATCCGAATATGCAGGCTTGCTTTGTTTGGTTGTCTCAACGTGGTTGTGTGTTGAATTGCATTTCGTTTTACCAGGTGATCTCGACGCGTTCGAAGTATTTCCGGAGTCCTGCGCGGCCTGCAAACTGGAGAAGATCGAGGACGCCTTCCCGCGAGCCCAGCTCACGCAAGAGGACGCTGACCGCCTCCGGCAGTGCGTGACCTGCGTGAAGGCCAAGCCTACCCTCACCTGCAGCGTCTGCCGCGAGACCTGCCCGGCGAAGGACTTCCTCCAGCACCATGCTCACCATGCCGCACGATGCCATCGAAGTGAGGCATGGACCCGCAAGGGCTGGTTTTCTTGCAAAAGCTGCAAAGAATCCCTGCCAATCAGCGCATCGCTGCAAATCAGCGCAGGTCGCAAAGATGACAGACAAAACTGTCTCAACTGCGCCATGGGCAACGCCCGCATAAACGGCATCAGCGCGTGCCGCCAGTGTAAGGACAGTGGCAAGAAGAGCCGTGCGTCTCTGCCCGACCTGCCGCAACGACACTGCAAGCACGGCCAAGCAAAGCCCAAAAGCGCCTTGCCAAAAGGGCAAAGAAAGCGACCACTAGAAATGTGAACGCGCTCGGAAAAAGAACAACAGCTGCGCGCCTGCAAATGCAAACTAAGCTAAGCGCTAAATGATGAAGAACATGCAGCATGCGACCACACACAGTTGCTGCGTAGTTGGCAGAGCAGACCAGATATGAAATATGATTCGTGCTCGCTCCCAAGTACCACTCTGGCTCACAGCACAAGAAACCTTCACCAAACAGTCCCAGCACACACAGCGGCAACACCCAAGCCAGAGTAACATGCACAGGTTACTCGGCTTCTTTCAAAGGTCACCTACCATGACCCACCAGCGAAATTCACGAAGCCTTTATATGGAGTTTTTGGCCTTGTTAGCGAGTACTGGAAAGGTGCTGAGGAGATTTTTCAAAGGTTTTACAGAGTAAGCAGAATTCTTGTAACGACGTTTATTAGAAGGTCCGTAGAAAGGTTTTCAGCACTTGTAAAAAGTAATTAAGAGGTTTTTTTTTGAATAGCTTTTTACATGGATGCTTAAAGCGTTTCTACAAGAATCTAAATGATTTTCAAAGGGCGTTGGAGGCTGCAAAGACCCGCAAGACCTGTCAAACACGGGAAAAAACAATTTGTTTCCAAGCGGCGCTTTGCAAACACATCTGTTTACCGCGGGCCCCGGGAGGTCTGGAAAGGGCAAAAAGGGTCCAACATAATTCAAAATGGCCATTGGGCGAGTTTCCAAGGCTCGGAATTCTAATCGGGTTTAGAAAATCTGGGGCTGAGGGGGGACCGTGTAGGAGAGAGGAAAGTCTCAAATCGAGTTTAGAAGTTGGGGTTTTGGGCGGGTTCCTGGGGGGTGGGGGTCCCAAACCGCCAGCTATACTGGCAAACCCTAAACCCTAAACCCTAAACAAACCCCAAACCCCAAACCCTAAACCCTAAAGCCTCAACCCTAAACCCTAAACCCTAAACCCTAAACCCTAAACCAAAGGTGGACCGAAGTGATCCAAAGTCGAGATCGGCCGGGAGCCTGGTCCTTTATGCAAGCAGAACCCTAAGCCTAAACCCTAAACCCTTAACCCTTAACCCTTAACCCTTAAACCCTAAGCCCTAAACCCATTGTAAACCCTATGAAAACATATGAAAACCCTTAAGCCCTACGCAAACCCTATGTAAACCGTATGTAAGCAGCCCCGGACCTAAATGTCCATGGCTGTTGGGGGAACGCTTGGGGGCTTGAAAAGGGGTTTAGGGTGCCGGGCTTCGGATGCAAGTTCAGCTTTGATGAGTTTAAGGGCGTCTTGGAGCTCGGAACCCGAAAACCCTAAACCCCTAAAGCCTCAACCCCAAACCGCAAACCCCTGTCATCTAAGCTTGTCAAGGGAGTGTCATCTAAGCCTTTCAGGGGCTGCTGCAGGCGCGGGGCGTGGCAGCTGGCGCTTGCAGAAGAGGGCTGAATTTAGTCTTCTGCTGCCAGTCGTATCGAGAACCGTGGCGTTTTGGCTGAAATTTAAACACCGAACCCCTCACCCCTAGCACCTAAACCCTATAAACCCTATAAACCCTATAAACCCTATAAACCCTATAAACCCTAAACCCTAAACGCTAAACGCCAAACCCCAAACCCCAAACTCCAAACCCTAAACCCTAAGCCCTAAACCCTAAACCCTAAACCCCAAACCCCAAACCCCAAACCCTAAACCCTAAACCCTAAACCCTAAACCCTAAACCCTAAACCCTAAACCCTAAACCCTAAACCCTAAACCCTAAACCCTACACCCTACACCCTACACCCTAAACCCTAAACCCTAAACCCTAAACCCTAACCCGAAGCCGTCCTCTCCTAAGGCCACCATCAAGGCCATTGAAGCCGCGAGCTCGTGGGGAAAAAGGGGAAGGGTTCAGGGCTGAGGGCTTCACCCTAGTATCCCTATGGGGGGGTTTAGGGTTTAGGGTTTAGGGGACCCCTGAAAAAAGACCCCACCATAGTAAGATTCCCTTCTAATCAGGGCCCCAGCAAGGTACCCGAATTTTCGGAAACCCCCTTAGAATGAGTTCAGCAAGTGCTGTCAACCCTACAAGCCCAGACCCCTAAACCCTTAACCCCAGAGCCGGAAGCAAGCAGTATGAAATGTCCGGAGTATGTGATGGAAACGACTTGGTTCGGGTTGGGTTTGGGAGGGGGCAATTCTTGGGGCTGGTTCTTGTCTTGAGCCTGTTGTGCTTTTTTTTGAGCCTCAGTCCTAAACCCTAAACCCTAAACCCTAAACCCCAAACCCTACACCCTAAGCCCGAATGCTCAGGACCACGTGGCCTCCTGGAAGCATGGCAAGCAACCACTGCTGCTGTTTCCAGAGGCCCGAGCTGGGTTAGTTTGGGGTTTAGGGTTTAGGGTTTAGGGGCTCTAGCGGTTTTAGGAGGGGTTTAGGGGTTTGGGGTTTAGGGTTTAGGGTTCAGGGCTTCCGCAGCCCGAACCCCCCAAAAAGCCCAAAACCCAACTCTCAACTCCGCTCAAAGCCCTAAACCCTCAACCTCAAACCCCAAACCCTAAACCCCAAACCCTAAAGCCCAAACCCTAAACCCTCAACCCCAAACCCTAAACCCCAAACCCTAAACCCTAAACCCTAAACCCTACGCCCTTCAAGCCCCAAGATGAAAATTCTGAATTTCCCAGGGCACCACCAGCAACGGGGAGAGCCTCCTGGAGTCGGAGCCCTCAGACGCCCCTAACTGGTTTAGGGTTTAGGGTTTAGGGTTTAGGGTTTAGGGTTTAGGGTTTAGGGTTTAGGGTTTATTTGGATTTCCCTTCCCTTGTTGAAGGGAACCTATTCATAGATAATTTTCAAAGGGCTCTCAAGCACCACTCAGCCAAGCAGTGGGTCAAGCCGGGCTCAGGAAGCTTTTGTTGGGATTCTGGGGTTTAGCGTGCAGCGTTTAGGGTTATCCTGTTTTTTTGGTTTTGGGATGTTGTTGTTTTTGGTTGTTTTTTGGTTGGGTTGTTTTTTTTTTTTTTTTTTGTTGGGGGGGGGGGGGGGGGGTTAGGGTTGAGGGTTGAAGGCCGAGGGCTTGGTAGAGTTTAGGGTTGAGGGAGTTTCGGGTTTTGGCCTCCCGGGTTGTTGGCTTCTAGGTTCGGACGTTCACCCTTATACGAACAGTCCTTAAGAGGGATGATAATCGGGGTACTAGAATCCCTGCTAAGGACTGCTAGAAAAATGGGGGGAATATCCCAAGTTATTTGGGGGATCACGGGGGTTTAGGGCTGTTGACGGGGTCAGTGTTCGAGCTGTTATGTTCAGGGCATTTATGTGATCAGCCTTCGCCCCCTACCTCCCCACGTTTGAATTTGTAGGGGTTGCGAGCTTTGGGGTTCCCCTAAACCCTAAACCCTAAACCCTAAACCCTAAACCCTAAACCCTCAACCCTCAACCCTCAACCCTAGACCCTAAATCCTAAACCCTAAACCCTAAACCCTAAACCCCAAACCCTCAACCCTAAACCCTAAGCCCGAAATCCTAAACCCTACACCCTAAACCCTACACCCTAAACCCTACACCCTAAACCCCTGCAGCTTTTTTGACTCTAGGGTTTTGGCCTTAAGGTTGCCCTCGAGCGAGGTTCAAGAAAGGCGCTTTTGTGCCCGGCGTCGCCGTGCGCCCAGCCGCCCGGGGCCTTGGGCACAGGAAGGGGAGTCGGTGGGCTTTGTTTTGGGGCTTAAGGCCTCTCCTACACCTGCCCTGATATATACATATATATATATATAGACAAAATACATGAAAAGCTAAATAGATAAATCGAGGATTAAAGGAATAGATAAACAAACATGCATATATACATACATATTTATATATATGTACACCCTGCCTCTGTAATAGGGTTAAGGTTTAGGGGTTTAGGGTTTCGGTTTGGGCCACGGGGGTACAGGGCTTTGGGTGGCTTTGGATTGAGGGTGTGTCGCGCGAAATGTTCTTGCGAGGCTGCGTGGGGTCTGGGGACGCGTCTTTCCCGGCTGCGAGAGATGCACGACCCTAAACCCTAAACCCTAAACCCTCAACCCTCAACCCTCAACCCTCAACCCTCAACCCTAAACCCTAAACCCTAAACCCTGTTTTTCAACCCTTTAGCGTGGCTTCGGGTTCCGAGCTTGTCTGTCCTCGGCCGAAATTCGGTAAGCCGAGTTCATGGAGCCCGTGGACACTCGTTTCGACTCTGTGGCGATGCTAAAGAAAGGACGCTTAAGGGGGGATTTTTTTTTTGTGATTTTGTTTGTTTTGCTATTATTGTTATTGTTATTCGTATTATTATTATGATCATTATTGAAGTGATAGAAACATCAAAAGTCAAGGACAACAACCAACAGCAACATATAGCAAAACGGTGCTTTTTCTACTAGCCTTGTGCGCGCCACTCGTTCTGGTAGGGTCCATTGTAAAATGTAAGCCCTGAATCCAATAAGCTTTCAGCCCTGCAACCCGAGGCTTGAAGCAAAGGAAAGAAAAGATGGCCCCTTGTTGGGCCGCAGCTTTCTTGAAACAGCTCTTTCTAGCTTTATGGGGTATTCAAGAGGGGTACCCGCAAGTTGGAATCCTCCCCCCCCCCCCCCTCCCTCCTAAAAACAAGAAAACCAAAGCCCTAAGCCCTGAGCCCTAAGCCCTAAGCCCGAAGCCCGAAGCCCTAAGCCCTATGCCCTAAACCCCTAAACCCTAAACCCTAAGCCCTAAACCCTAAACCCGAAACCCTCAACCCTCAACCCTAAACCCCAACGCCTTAGCTCAATCTCAAAAGGTCCTCTGCTACACCGGGTCCTGGGATCCAGCCAGCGTCCACTACCGGGCCAACGATGACGGCAAGATCCAGGTGGAGGGTTCAGGGTTTCAGGGTTTCAGGGTTTAGGGTTTAGGGTTTAGGGTGTCTTTGGCAGGAAGCCCATGAACCCTATACAAACCCTACAGCAACCAATGATAGGATCTTAGGCCCTCATGAGCAAACCCAGGTTCAGGTCGTTCAGGGGCGTGCAGGGTTCATAAGGTCAAAAGGGTACTGAGCCCTAAGCCCTAAACCCTAAACCCTAGCCCTGAATCCTAAATCCGAAACCCTAAACCCTAAACCCTAAATGCTAAATCCTAAACCCTAAGCCCTAAACCCTAAACCCTAAACCCTAAACCCTAAACCCCTAAACCTTAAACCCTAAACCCTAAACCCTCCGAAGGCGATCGGAGACACGGAGTGGGCGGAACAGCTATGGCCCCAGATTGTGCTCTATTGAGGTTTTATCATGGTTTGAGGGCTATGGGGTTTAGGGTTTAGGGTTTAGGGTTTAGGGTTTAGGGTTCAGGGTTTAGGGTTGAGGGTTTGGGGTTTAGGGTGTAGGGGTGTAGGTGTTTAGGGATTAGGGATTTGGGGGTTTAAGGACTAGGGCTTTCGGATTTAGGGCTTAAGGATCTAGAGATTGAGGGGTTTAGGGGTTTACGGGTTGCATTGTCCAGCCTTCCAGATCCCACAACATCAGTCACCGACCAAAGACTTGCCGAAGGCCCTCTGTTTAGGGGTTTTTGGGGTTTAGGGTTAGGGTTTAGGGTTTAGGGTTTAGGGTTTAGGGTTCAGGGTTCAGGGTTCAGGGTTTAGGGTTTAGGGTTTAGGGTTTAGGGTTTAGGGTTTAGGGTTTAGGGTTTAGGGTTTAGGGTTTAGGGTTTAGGGTAGTTTAGGGTTTAGGGCTTAGGGTTTAGGGTTTAGGGCTTAGGGTTTAGGGTTTAGGAGGTTCAGCTTTTAGGGCTTTAGGGGGGGGGCTTTGGGGCTGTTTCGGGTTCACGGGCAGCAACGTAGTCGCTGTTCCCTCTAAACCCTAAACCCTAAACCCTAAAACCCTAAACCCCTAAACCCCTAAACCCTACACCCTACACCGTAAACCCTAAACCCTAAACCCTAAACCCTATCCCCCTGGTCCTTAGCAGGGAATAGGCCCTGTATGGCGCTGGTAGATGACCTGGTTTTGGCTTGTGCATCACACAGCTCGAAAAAAGCAAAGGCGATGTAGCAACACCGGCATCGGAGCATGTCGTGCCGAGGTTGAGACGAAACTCGAATGTCACTTCCCCCTTGAAACCCTTCGTGGCCCTTAGACTCCTTCGGTCCTTCCAAGCAAAAATCCTAAACCCTCAAATCCTTCAACTCTAAACCCTAAACCCTAAACCCTAAACCCTAAACCCTAAACCCTAAACCCTAAACCCTAAACCCTGGAAACCGAGATTCCTGGGCCACATGATGCACTCGGTGCGCATCCGCGTTTTGCCGCCCTACGTGCCGTCCGAGGCCGGGCTGGCGTGCTCTCCTTGACCTCAGGGGGGTTTAGGGTTTAGGGTTTAGGGTTTAGGGTTTAGGGTTTAGGGTTTAGGGGGTTCTTGGTGAGCTTGGGGCGTATGGTTTATGGAGATTTTTGGTGGTTCGGGGTTCAAAGAAAACAGAAGTTGTTGGATTGCTTGGATGCTGTCTCTGTCTCTGTCTCCGTCTCCGTCTCCGTCTCCGTCTCTGTCTGTCTCTGTCTCTGTCTCTCTCTGTGTGTCTGTGCGTTTCCAACCCTAAACCCCAACCCCAAAAAGATTGAGGAGACTTTGTATATGTTTGGGTAGAATTTGGCCGTCCTTGTGGTGGGCATGTCGTCTGCATGCAGTTGAGCCATACAGCACCCGAAGGCTTGGCTCTACAAATCCAAACCCCACAAACCTAATAACCCCCAAGCAGTATGCCCAAACCTCTTGCGGTTTAGGGTCCAGGGTCTAGGGTTTAGGGAGGGTTTAGGGGGATTAGGATCTAGGGTTTAGGGCTCTAGCTGAACTGCAACTCATACACTCTAAACCCAAAGCAAGAGCGCACTGCAATCACGAGGAGGAGAAGCAAGACCCGCTCTTGTTTGCCAAGAACGTCCGTGAGGCTCCGGGATAAGCTGTTGGTGTTCAGGGTCAAGGCTTTGTCGCTCGGTGCTATCCCTAGCCCTAAGCCCTAAGCCCTAAGCCCTAAGCCCTAAACCCTAAACCCTAAACCCTAAACCCTAAACCCCAAACCCCAAACCCTACAGGCCCCACACCCCAAACCCGAAACCCAACCAACAAAAAAAAGAACCAAACCCGAAACCCCAAAACACAAACCCTAAAGAAATGGCACAAGGGCCCTACTCTACTCCCCGCCCTAATATTACACCGCCTATTCTTAAACACACACCCCCCCCCCCCCCCCCATATACCCGAAACCCTAAACCCTAAACCCCAAACCTAAGCCCCAAAACCTAAACCCTAAACCCTACTCCCGACACCTGCAGGTCATGACACAGGCACACGGCGAGCTCCGCGCGGAGGTGGCAGCCTTATCATTGTGCGCTCGAGGTCCCTAAGCCTAAGCCTAGGGTGCAGTGCCTAGGGCTTAGGGTTGGGAATGTAGGGTTTAGGGTTTGGGTTTGGGGTTTCGGGTTTGGGTTTAGGGTTTGGGGTTTAGGGTTTGGGGTTTAGGGTTTGGGGTTTAGGGTTTGGGGGTTGGGCTTTGGAGGTACAGGTTTGGGATTTGGGGTTAGGACCTCAAGGTACCTTGTAAAGGCGGCAGGGTATCGACAAGGCTTTGCGACCTAAGGGTTCAGGGTTCAGGGTTTAGGGTTTAGGTTTAGGGTTTAGGGTTTAGGGTTTAGGGTTTAGGGTTTAGGGTTTAGGGTTTAGGGTTTAGGGTTTAGGGTTTAGGGTTTAGGGTTTAGGGTTTAGGGTTTAGGGCAAGAACGGCCCATCGACTCTCCAGTGACTATGTGGGCTGCATCCCATCGAAAGGCCCCGAAAGGTTGAGTCACAGGCCTAAGAACTTCCCAAACCCCAAACCCCAAACCCCAAACCCCAAACCCCAAACCCCAGACCCCAGACCCCAAACCCCAAACCCCAAACCCCAAACCCTAAACCCTAAACCCCCAGCCCAAAGCCCAAAACCTTAAACTCTAAACTCCAAGGCCTAAAATTCTTAAGCCCCTGGCTCACCCCAGAGCAGACCCCGAACCTGCCCTTGAACACAAAGCCCGAAATCCAAACCAAAAGTTTGGGTTCAGGGTTCAGGTGTTGAAGCCTCAAACTTTAAACCATCACCCCTAAACCCTAAACCCCAAACCCCAAACCCCAAACTCTAAACCCTAAACCCCAAACCCTAAACCCTAAACCCTAAACCCTAAACCCTAAACCCTAAACCTCCCTCCCCCCCGCGCTCCACAGCAGAACATCCGGAGCTGAGGCGCAGAGGGAGAAGACAGAGTCCGAACGCCGCTCCCTGCAGGTGGCGGAAGTGGAGTCGTGCCCTTGTTCCCCTCTCTTTTAGGGTTTAGGGGTTTAGGGGTTTAGGGTTTAGGGTTTAGGGTTTAGGGTTTAGGGTTGAGGGTTTAGGGTTGAGGGTTTAGGGTTTAGGGTTGAGGGTTTTCAGAAGGGCTTAGGGTTTAGGGGTTTGGGGTTTAGGGTCTAGGGTTTTGGGTTTAGGGGCCCTTGTCCCCTTTCTTTACTCGGTAGGCCCTTGGTTCAATGTATATTTTTCCTTAATAGGCTTAGGAGGGTCATATACAGGAATATTTTTCAGAGGGTTTTAGGGGCCACCCTAGTTTAATTAGGGTTGAGGGTTTGGGGGTTTGGTGTTGTTTAGCACAAAGAGGTAAGTTAGATTTCCCGGGGTGCGTGTTTAATAGGGTATTTAATTTCGGGCCAGGCATGGGATAGACGACGACTTCCTCGTGGACGAGTTTGGATAGATATCAATGATCATGCCTATTCGCAGCTGTAAGCTGCTCAAGAAGGGCCCTTCTTTGACTTGTAGCAGCCTGTCTTGTACAGTTGTCGCCCCCGTGGATAGTTTTCCTGTACGTTGCGGATCTGGATAGCCAACTCGTAGCCGGAAGGCAAGAGGAGCTAAAAGGACGGAGCGTGACGAGGGATAGATCCACTACCCTAACTTTCGGGATAGTTACCTGTTTCCTCTACAACTCATAGCCGGAGGCCGGAGGATATTGGGAATAGGTGGCTGTTCAGGTAGATATCTTGCTTGGTGTACAACGTGTGGCCGGACGGCTAGCGGATACATCCGGTGGATAGGCTGCCAACCCCCTGGAGATAGCAACTCTAGGGATCCTTCCGATAGACGTCGTCGGGAGCGGTATAGGAGTACTTGGATAGCTTCCATTGTGTTCCCCGTTGGCAGGGATACTGCTGTTCTTGGTGCAACATACAACTTACATCTGTTTATAGTCAACTTCTTTCTCCTCGTGTGGCCTGAGCTAGTTATTGGAGCGGGTTGCGCAAGTTTTCCTCGATTTGGACACTTCGCACAGGTTAAGAGCCTTGTGGCTCACGCTGAGACAGGGGTGGTGGGCAATGGCGACATAGACAGCGTGAGATTGAATGTTGGACGAGGACGAGGTGTGCCGGGGGGAGGCAGGAGGACACTCCAGATGATGGATTATGAACATACGCAAGCAATCGCTCCGGAATCAGTCGCTTGCCGAGGTACACCTGCATCACAAGAGTCAGCCGTTCTGAAGCGAAAGCAAGCCGAAGCACCTTCGGTACGGAGCTCTGGGGTTCAGACTGTGACGCAGGATGTCCGCCGACATGGTCAGACGTACCTGGTGCAACCTCTGCGTGATAACCTGTGGACATGGAAGGAAGCCGCGATGTCACTGACGGAAGCATCATCTCCATTCCTCGAGAGCTTTTACTACAACATGTATGGAGACGGATGGGACGGTAGCGCAAGACGGCACGGCGAGTTCTACATAGGATCCGATAGTGATAGTGAGGAACAAGAAGGCCTTTCGATGGAAAGATCTGAGGCCAGCGCTGGTGGCTAGGGCGGCGGGAGCTGATGATGCACTGCAAGTGATTTCGCAGGCCTCGCCCTGCGGTCTGCGAAACGGGGGGTGTTTTGCAGCGCCTCTTTGTTTCAAGCGCCAGTCAGCAGCAATCTCTCAACTTGCACTTTCGGGCTGCCGTATGCTCAAGGCATCCCGGCGGTCAGAGTGTAGGCTTCCCATGCACAGAGATCGCGCTGATGGCCCAAGCCATGCAGGTTACGGAGAGAGCTCATGGAACCGTGAGTTGAGAAAAGTCCGGCGGTTGCGACAAGCTCATGCCCGACAGCAGGACAAGATGTTGACCTGCAGCCTCAAAGAGCGGGTTTTACACCTCGAACTTGAACTTCAACAGGTGTTTAGGGTTTTTGTCGGGTGTTTCTCTGGGTTTAGTAGCCTTACTCCCCAGCATGAGGGATGAGGGTTTAGGGTTTAGGGTTTAGGGTTTAGGGTTTAGGGCGCATGGACTATTCAGTTTGGAGGTGGAGGGGTCATACGGTTTTTGGCGGGCTTGGGGGAACCTAACAAATATTCAACGTACCCCTTGGGCAAGCCCGTAAACGAAGTTAAGGGGTATGGTAATCTCCTTCCGTATTTCGGGTTTGTATGTTGAATGATTCCCTGAGCCCTAAACCCTAAACCCTGAACCCAAGACCCTAAGCCCTAAACCCCAACCCCCAAACCCTAAACCCTAAACCCTAAACCCTAAACCTTAAACCCTAAACCCTAAACCCTATACCCTATAAACCCTAAACCCCAAAATTCGGTCTCGCGGGGTTTGTAAAGGCCCCGGATTTGTCCCAATTTAGGCATATGGGTGCTTTCACAAAAATGACGGTCCCTCTCGGGGGTACGGACCCCCATACTTAGGGTATAGCCCGAAAAGAGCCCCATAATTTTGAGAGTCCCTGGCTGGGAGTTCTGGGCTCTTGATTCTCTAGCATCCACCATGCGATCCTACACTCCCTCCCCCCGAATCCCGAACCTTGAGCTAAGCCGCAGCGTGGCAAAAAAACGCAATTACGCCCGACGCTCCCCACGCGAAACTCCTTGCTCCAGCCAGGCCTACGCACACCGTGGGGTGGGGGCCCCACCAAGAAGTAGCGTCTAGCGTTTAGGGTTTAGGGTAGAGGTTCATTAGGGTTTAGGGCTTCGGGCTTGGAAGTGTTGAGGGTTTCAGGGATTCGGTGGCATTCTTTAGGGTGCCAACGTTTCGGGAGTTTTGGGTTTGAGGGGCAGGGGTTCACCCTCTCCCCATGTCATGGTTTCAGGGTTTAGGGTTCAGGGTTTAGGGTTCAGGGTTTAGGGCTTAGGGTTTAGGGTTTACGGGTTAGGGTCTGGGGTTTAGGGTTTGCAGCCTCATGTGCTCTGCAGGGCGTCGAGGCCAAACCCTTGTTCTCCAGACCAGACCCTCGACCTCTGCAGCCTTAACCCTGAACCTACAGCCTTAACCCTTCACCCTCAATCGTAAACTCCAAACCCTCAGCCCTAGACCAAAACACCTTAATCCCCAAAAACCCTAAAGCCCAGACCCTTGACCCTCATACCCAAACCCCAAACCCTAAACCCTGAACCCTCGACCCTAAACCCTAAGCCCGAAACCCTAAGCCCTGAACCCGAATCCTAAACCACCAGACCCTCCAGACTCCAAGAACCAAACCCGCCACCCTCCACCCTAGAACCCTAAACCCTAAACCCACTAACCCTAAACCCTAAACCCTAAACCCTAAACCCTAAACCCTAAACCTCAAACCCCAACCTTTGCGTGACCTTGCTTTGGCTACTTTTTCGTGTGCTGGAAAACTCAGAGATCGGCATTGTTTGGCCCCCTGGTCTGGGGTTTAGGGTTTAGGGTTTGGGGTTTAGGGTTTCGGGTTTCGGGTTTCGGGGTTTAGGGTTTCGGGTTTCCGGGTTAGGGTCTAGGGTTTAGGGTTGAGGGTGTTAGTGCCCCCTAAGCAACCTGGAGTTTTGGCCCACTCCCAGGTCGAAGCAGTGGAGGACTCTCTTGCGCGCAGAAGCCCAAACCCTAAGCCCGGAACCCTAAAACCTTAAATCCTAAACCCTAAACCCTCAACCCTAAACCCTAAACCCGAAACTCTAAACCCTAAACCCTGGACCCTAAACCCTAAACCCTAATCCCCGAGCTCGAAGGTGGCTTTACGAGCTTATAGTCTTCGGGATCCCGGGCTCCACCCCTAAAGCCCTCAACCTTAACAGCCCTATGAACCCTAGCAACCCTGCGAGCCCTCTGTAAACCTAGCCCTCAACCGTGAACGCTGGGCAGGACATGTTCCGATTCACCGCCAGGGCCTTAGACCCCAGTGAAACATGTGGGAGTTTACGACAATAGGGGACCCCCCAATAGAGACCCCTAAACAGTAGGATCCCCTTAGCCCAAGGACCCCAAGAAGGTACCCGCCCCCCCCCCCCCCCCCCCTTTTGGGGTGCATCCCTATCCGCGAATGAAAGGCAAGGCCTAAACTTACCCCTCAACGTTGTGGAATCCGTCACCACTGAACTCCAAACACCTACGCCCAAAGCCTCACGCCCTATACCCTAAACCCTAAACTCCAAACCCCTGAATTCCCCTAAGCCTGAGGCCCAGCTTGAAACCCCAAACCCGCCAAAGCTCAAACCCTAAACCCTAAACCCTAAACCCTAAACCCTAAACCCTAAACCCTAAACCTTAAACCCTAAACCCTAAACCCTAAACCCTAAACCCTAAACCCTAAACCCTAACCTTAATAAACCTTAAGCCCCCGACTCTGTAGTTCTCTAAACTAGGGGTCCCGTTTTGGGATTCTTCTTTTGTAAGGGTGCCGTACATATGTCGGATGCGAGAAAGGAACCCCAACGTAGAGAACAACCCTAAACCCTAAACCCTAAACCCTAAACCCTAAACCCCAAACCCCAAACCCTAAACCCTAAACCCTAAACCCCAAACCCCAAATCCTAAACCCCAAACCCCAAACCCCAAATCCTAAAACCCCCCAAGCCCCACATTTTCTGAGGGCCTTGTTCGGGAGCGCTCGGGGTCCGCGCCCGCGGACTCAGGCCACTTCGATACGCAAATCTGTTTAGGGTTTAGGGTTTAGGGCTTGGAGTTTAGGGTTTAGGGTTTGGGGGGGGGGGGAGGGGGTGGTTTTGGTGCAGGTGTTTTGTTCTTAGTTTTTTTGGGTGGGGGGGGGGGCGGGGGGGGGGGGGGGGGTCGGGGGGGGGGGGGAGCCCCGCAAGCTTCAAACTTCTGAAGGAGGCTTTGGGGGAACTTCCTCAACCATCAGGGTTTGGGGGTTTAGGATTTAGAGTTTTGGGGGGTTTCGGGTCTTGGCTTTAGGGTGGGTTAAAGGTGGGTTAGCCCGCCCACGGTCGGGGTTTCGGAATGAACCTTGAACCGTGAACCCCAAACAACTCTAAACCCCAAAGCCCGAACTCTAAACCCTAAACCCGAAACCCAAAACCCTAAACCCGAAAGCCCAAAACCCGAAACTCTAAACCAACCTGGCGGGACCCCGGCCTGTAAAGAGAGGCTTGGGGGTAAGACCCCAGGGGCTTAGGGTTTAGGATTTCGGGTTTAGGGTTTAGGATTTAGGGTTTAGGATTTAGGGTTTAGGGTTCAGGGCTTAGGGTAGCGAGATGTGTCCTGGCGAAGGTGGTGGCGGCGATCGTCACCAGTTGGGCTTCCAGAGGTGTGGCACGCTGGGTTTAGCGGCCTAGTTCTGTCAGAGAGTTTGCAACAGACCCTCTTGACAAGCTATGTGGGGTAAACAGCAAATCCCTCTTTCTTAGGTTCCTACTTGGTTCTTCACTTTTTTTTTTTTCTCTCTCTCTCTCTCTCTCTCGCGCTCTTTCGTTCTTTCTTTCGCGCATGGCCCCGAGAACCCTCAACACAGAGCTCTGGTTTCTTCCAAAGGCTTAGGCCCCCCCCCCCCCCCCCCCCCCACCTCACACCCCCCCCACCCCCCCCCCCCCCCCAATCCCTAAACCCTAAACCCTAAACCCTAAACCCTAAACCATAAAACCCTAAACCACTAAACCCTAAACCCTAAAACCATAAAACCCTAAACCATAAAACCCTAAACCCCTAAACCCGAAACCCCCCCCCCCCCAAAGCTCCCCGAAGCAAAGCCAGGATCCCGACGACCGGAAGTGGTGCCGGGCCCGACTTCGGGATTCCCGAGTGTGGGGTTAGGGCTCGGTTTCGGAACCCTAAGCCCGAAACCCTAAACCCTAAACCCGAAACCCTAAGCCCTAAACCCTAAACCTAGTGTTCCAAGCAGTGTGCCAACACTCAGGGGCTCCCTCTTGCAGGGCAAGAGTGCAGGGCAAGAGGGGACCAACTCGGCTGGCGCGCGCGTTCCGCGCACGGCTGCGCAATGCGAATGCAACCCTAAACCCTAAACCCTAAACCCTAGACCCTAAACCCTAAACCCTAAACCCTAAACCCTAAACCCTAAACCCTAAACCCTAAACCGTACTTCCGTGGCCACGCGCGCGGTCCGCGGAACTGTCGTTGCTTTTGAGCGTCCGGGTTCACGAAATGAGGGTTTCCGAAATTAGGGGGTTACCTTATTGGGGTCCTCATTATAAGGGAACCCTACCAATTTGGGGATTTAGGGTTTAAAGGATTTAGGGTTTAGGGTTTAATTAGGGTTAAATTAGGGTTTAGGGTTTAGGGTTTAGGGTTTAGGGTTTAGGGTTTAGGGTTTAGGGTTACCCCAAACCCCAAACCCCAAACCCTAAACCCTAAACCCTAAACCCTAAGCCCCAAACCCTAAACCCTCAACCCTCAACCCTAAACCCTAAACCCTAAACCCGAATCAACACACGAAAGCTACACAAAACAGGCTGGGAGTCGGCGTCACCGCCGCACCCCGCCCAAGCCCGCGCCTCCGGGGGCCGGCCGGGGCTCCTCAGGCCGCGCAGGATCTGGGGAGGCGCGAGTAGGGGAGGGAAGCTAGGGTTTAGGGTTTAGGGTTTAGGGTTTAGGGTTTAGGGTTTAGGGATCAGGGATCAGGGATTAGGGATCAGGGATCAGGGATTAGGGGTTTAGGGTTTAGGGTTTAGGGTTTGGGGAATTGAGGGAATTTGGGGAACTAGGGCATTTAGGGCACCTAGCGAATGTAGGGTTGCGAAGGTTTAGGGACTTCAGGGGTTTAGGGGGATTCTTCCCCATGCCCCAAACCTTAACGCGGAAGTTCCGCAACCCTCAGCCCTAAGCCCTCCCCGCTGGCGCCCCCGTAGCCCAGGCGCAATTCGGTTCCGACTGCACCCGTGGCCGTACAAAGTACGGCCCGGGTTGCTCTGAATCTTGCGACGGACAAGCAGCTCCGACCTTAAACCCTAAACCCTAAGCCCTACACCCTGAAGCCCCAAAGGCCTCTGCATAAGCCCTAAAAAAGGCACTAAAAGCTCTTAACCTCAAGACCCACAAGCCCGAGCAGGCAAACAGGCTCAGCCAATACATAGACGGAGACCTTGAAGAGCCCAAACCCACCGATCAACCCTAAACCCTAAACCCTAAACCCTAAACCCTAAACCCTAAACCCTAAACCCTAAACCCTAAACCCTAAACCCTAAACCCTAAACCCTAAACCCTAAACCCTAAACCCTAAACCCTAAACCCTAAACCTAAACCTAAACCCTAAACCCTAAACCCTAAACCCTAAACCCTAAACCCTAAACCCTAAACCCTAAACCCTAAACCCAAAACCCAAAACCCAAAACCCGCCCGCCACCCCTCTCACCTCTGCTGGGGTAGGCGGGTGTCGAAAACCAGGAGCCTATTCACGCCCTTGAATTTTCTGTGAGACGGGCCTTCGGCCCAGACTGTCCCGACCCGGGCCCTTCGGCCGTCCCCTGCGCAACAACCTGAGGAGGTATCCTCTGCCGCTATGGCTTCCGCATCCCCTATACATGTGTCACATGTGAATTTTGAATGGCTTCGGCTTGGTTTGGGTTGGCGCATGTGAATTTTGAATGGCTTCGGCTTGGTTTGGGCTGGCCCCGGTTTGGTTCGCAGTGAGTAGTGTTTGGGTGGTCTTGGGGCGGGCATGTCTTCACACTGTTGCGTTCAGCTGACCGATGCAACACCCTAAACCCATACCTTAAACCCTGAACCCCAAACACTAAACCCTAAACCCCTGAAGCCCCTTCAGTTTAAAGATCCAACATAGAAATGCTCCACCCCTCTCCGCCCCCCCCCCCCCCGCCCCGAAGAATCTATAACCCTCCCTAAACCCTAAACCCTAAACCGTTAAGCCCTAAGCCCTAAACCCTAAACCTCAAACCCCTACGACAAGGAACTGTTTAGAAAGTTTGCTAAACCCCCACTGCCCAAGTCCTTAAGCCAACAACGTCTCTAGCTTAGCCTAAGCAAACGCTAAAGGCCCCGCCCTGAACCCTAAGCCTTAAAACCGAAGCCCTAAACCCTAAACCCTAAACCCTAAACCCTCTAAATCCTCCACAATCAGCCCTTTGCCCCTCACCCCGCTATAACCTTTCACCGCCGAGCTGCCTTTCGTGTCGCTTCGCTGCAGCCCCGCGACGGTCTCTGGCAGCGTCAAATACACACGGTTGCTGTCACAGAACGTCAGCCAAGTTGCCATCACAGGGACATCAAATTTAAGTAGAAGCCTCTAAACTATCAAACCCCAAGCCCTGAACCCTCAAACCCAAACCCTAAACCGTAAACCCAAAACCCTAAAAGTTCTGAACGCTACATATGCTGTTGCCTCCGCTGAATCTGCATTTTAAGAATTGTTCAACAGACCCCACATACCCCGTAGCACAAATGGAGATAATGAGGAAGGATTTTCCCACACCCCCACCCCAAAGCCCAAACCCTAAACCCTAAACCCTAGACCCCAAACCCCGAACACTCAAACGACGTAGGGCTCTTTTGGCTCTTAAAAGTTGCATCGTATGCAACCCAAAACCCAAAACCCAAAACCCTAAACCCAAAACCCTAAACCCTAAACCCCAAGCCCTAAACCCTAAACCCTAAACTCTAAACCCCCAACCCTGCGCTCAACATTTCGCATCGCCTTTCTGGACCCAATCGGATTTTGGGGTTTTGGGGGTTGGGGGTTTTAGTGTTTTAAGGTTCATTGTTTAGGGGTTTAGGGTCTAGGGTTTTGGGGTCTTAGTGTTTAGGCTTTAGGTTCTACGGTTTTAGGGTTTAGAGTTTTGGGTGTAGGGTTCAGGGAAACCAGCTGTTGTCGTTTGGCCCCTTGCAGCCCTCACACACCCTAACACCCTCAACCTAACGCTCCTAAACCCTCAGCAAATAGCAAGTGACCCTAAACCCGAAACCCTAAACCCGAAACCCTAAACCCTAAACCCTAAACCCTAAACCCTAAACCCTAAACCCTAAACCCCGTGACATACATGTTGCATGGTGCTCTCGATGGCTTCAAGAACTTGGTGTGCCGTAGGATCCCGCACCGAAATCGGGCGCTTTCTGCCTGCCCTAATCCCGAAACCCTGAACCCTAAACCCTAAACCCTAAACCCTGAACCCTAAACCCTGAACCCTGAACCCTAAACCCTGAACCCTAAACCCTAGACTCTAGTCCTGCCTAGGGCTCGCAAGCGAGTACCGGACTTACCGAATCTTGAGAAGTTCGCCTTAGCGCAGGCGCGATGCACAGACGGTGCCTGCCGGGGTGGGCGCCGACGCCCACCCGAGGTCGGCAAAAAGACACCACACTGCCGGGCTCGTTTCGGAAAAGCGTGCGCGTGGGGTGCTTTAAAGGGTTCAGGGTTTAGGGTTTAGGGTTTAGGGTTGAGGATTCAGTGGTTTGGGAACTAGGATTTGGGGAGGGAGGGTGGTTTAGGGTTCAGGGTGTGGTAAGAATGTAGAGTGAGTCATCGCAACGCGCATCACAACTCAGCAGTCGTATCAGGTTGAGTGTATATGGGGGTTTACGAAAATAAGGGACTTCGAATCTTGTCCCCCAAATAGTAGGATTTTGGGGATAATAAGGACCCCCAATAAGGTAGCCCTAATTTCGGAAACCCCCAAATTCATCCCTAAACCCTAAACCCTAAACCCTAAACCCTAAACCCTAAACCCTAAACCTTAAACCCTAAACCCTAAACCCTAAACCCTAAACCCTAAACCCTAAACCCTAAACCCTAAACCCTAAACCCTGCCTCAGGGTTTAGGGTTTAGGGTTTAGGGTTTAAGGTTTAGGGTTTAGGGTTTAGGGTTGGGGCACACACGGTGCAGAGTCTTCGACTGCCCGAAAGACCTGCCACCCGCCATCTGCACCCTTACGCGGCAAAGCTTATGCCGACATTAAGGTTTAGGGCTTAGGGCTTAGGGCTTAGGGCTTAGGGCTTAGGGCTTAGGGCTTAGGGCTTAGGGCTTAGGGCTTAGGGTTTAGGGTTTAGGGTTTAGGGTTTAGGGTTTAGGGTTTAGGGTTTAGGGTTTAGGGGTTAGGGTTGAACCCTAGACTCTCTAGATCCTTGATTGCCTGGGTGTCTTAACTGCAGGACCCAACGAAGACAGTGAACTCTGATGGCCGACCCAGCTTCTTCGTGCCCAGCGCGACTTTCGAGTTCCCCAAGCCTGGCCCGAAGAAGAAGGCCCCCGGTGACATCTGTCGGGGCTCGGGTTCAAATTTGCTACTATTTGCTGAAGAACCACCCTAAGAATAAAGGTCTTCTTCCTTATAAGGATTGTCATCTTCAAGTTTTCTGGCGTGGCTCTTAAACACATAGCGGGTTTGGGTTATAGGGGTTTAGGGGTCCTGGTCTTTGCGTCGTTTCTATTGGGGCTTTCTGGGTTTGGGGTGTAATGGCCGTCCCTTGAGGAACAAAGGGCACCCTTTGGGATGTTCATCCTTATACTAACAGCTCCTTAATGGGCATTATAATACCCCCCCCCCCCAGTATAATCCTCATTAAGGACTGCTAGTATAAGGGGGAACATCCCAAAGCACCCTGTTTACCCTTTGGTTGCTGGATGAGGGGTGATTCTTAATAGGGGTTAGGAAGGTTTTGAGTCTAGGGTGCCTTCTTGGGGTTTAGGGCGGCGTCTTGGGGCTCTTCCCCTAAACCCTACCCTAAGCCCTAAATCCTAAACCCTATAAACCCTAAGGCAGGTTTTATATGGTCCCATGCCTTCTTGAAAGGGTTCTGGGTGTTTATGGGGTATTTGGGTTATGTAAGGGCCCTATGAAGGGACCATGTAACTACAACAAAACCGCAAACTCTAACCCCAAACCCTAAACCCTAAACCCTAGACCCCAAAACCCAAAAGCCCTAAGCCCTAAACTCCTAGACGTCCCTAACCGCCCCCCCCACCCCCCACCCCCCCCCCCCCCCCCCCCCCCCCCCCCCACCCCCCCCCCACCCCCCCCCACCCCCCCCCCACCCCCCACCCCCCCAACAGTTCAGCAGGATGAAGAGCGACCGCTGGAGGAAGAGGGCAGTGACAAGCCGGAAGCGGACCGGAGGGCTGTTGGGTGGTTTTCTTAGCAAGGGTTTAGGGTTTAGGGTTTAGGGTTTAGGGTTTAGGGTTTAGGGTTTAGGGTTTAGGGTTTAGGGTTTAGGGTTTAGGGTTTAGGGTTTAGGGTTTAGGGTTTAGGGTTTAGAGGGGCTTTGAGCAGGATCAGGGTTTGGGCTTTAGGGTTAGAGTGTAGTTTTGAGGCCTTTAGGGCCTTGAGCAGGAATTGGGGTTTGGGGTTTAGGGTTAGAGTTTGGGGTTTAGGCGCTTCGGGGTTTAGGGTTTTAGGGCTTTGGGGTTCAGGGTTCATGGTTTTAGGGGGTTTAGGGTTCTGGCGTTTAGGGGTTTGGGGGTTTTGGGGGGTTCGGTGCTTTAGGGGGTTAGAGGTCAGGGGTTTATTGGGCTTTAAGGGCGTTAGGGGTTAGGGCTTAGGCGGCGTTGGGGCTTGAGATCTAGGAGGATCAGGGCTCAGGGGATCTGGGTTTAGGGCTTCAGGGCATTAGGGATTTGGCGCTTTCGGTTTAGGGTGATGTGTGAGATGGTTCAGGGTGCTGTTGTGAAACAACTGTACATCTCGTTCCTGAACCTCCATGCGCCAGCCCATTCAGGCTGCAGGAAACCGAAACCCTAAACCACCCCAAAACCCCAATCCATAGACCCAAGAACCCTAGGTCCTAAGCCCCCAAGGCCTAAGGTGCAATCACTAAACCCTAAACCCTAAACCCTAAACCCTAAAACCCTAGCTGGTCGACGCTCTATTGTTGTACGGAGGTGGAGGTGATGTCCGAGCTGATGTCCACGGACACGTGGAAGGTCTTGGATTCCACCATACGCGACAGCTTCCCTGTTGTTCTGGCGCTGATCCCAGTGCCCCCGTCGACGGAGCACCCGATGGGCGGGGAACTGCTCCATTCGATGACGATGTGCCTGGGAGACATTGAGACGCTTCGCGCACAGGGCGCAACAGTCGTCGCTGCTGCGCTACGAGCCTGCGGATCATATTCGATTTCCGGATATGTCCTGCGCGACAGTCTCTATGCCGGCGCATCCATTCTGTGGGGTCCGATCAAACGAGCAGCAATGGAGGCAGTATCTTCTCTGGAAGAAATGTCCAAAGTCTGCTCAAGTGATCATGGAAGCTCAGCTGGAGCTCATGGATTGAGTCTCACCAACCCGGTGACGACCCTGGAAGACATGCACGCCGTGTTCCAGGAGAGATCGAGAAACTGGGCGTGACTCTTTCTGAAGTCTCCTTTTTGGTCATCGACCTGTGTGCCAACTCCAGTACGGGCACACTACACACGTTTTTCGTCGTGGCCGCTTTTTGTGTTGTTGGATCATACATTACATCAGGCCAAGTTCAACCTCGCATGTTTTTCGCTGGCATCAGACGCTTACTCTGGGATGCCGGGAGTTTTTCATTCGATGTGCTCACCCAATGGTGCATCGCGTTAAAGTTGTCTATGAAGTCGCAAATCGGAGAACTGTGGAGTTCACGTCAGGGTGGCATCTGTCACTACTGCCTCCCCACAGGCTTCGAATTCAAGGCTAGCAACGACGACAAATTCGACGACGCGATTGCGTTTGCACACCGATGCTCAAGATGCGTTTTACGGCACTGGACTGTAGGCGATAGGCCAATGTACAAGGCGGAGAGATATCATCACAAGCTGCTTCATCGATCTCAGCATGTCATATGCTCTGACCGACAGACGGCCAAGGGCATGCTTGCGAATATTAATCTCACGCGCTCAAACTTGGTTGACGATCCTGCGCTTGATCGTCAGTACAGCTATCAGACGTACCTAGCCCATGCAGTCCGGGCCGAGCTCATCACTCTCGGCGGAAGCATTACCTTTGTTTCCGACAGCCCGGGCGGTCAAGGTGTGACCGCGCCACGTGGGGACCCTAGCTCCAGCGCTTCATCGTCGGACGCACCCGCGACTGGTTCTGGACCGGCGGGGAATATAAAAGCCGCGGAGAGCTCCGCTACTGCGGCGGCATCGAGGCTCATTGAACCCGGGGCCCCTCTCGTTCCCTACACCTCAGCACCACCCGGAATTCCAATGGAACATGTACGGGTTATTGTTGACTGGGACAAGGTTGACCTTCGCAAAGACCTTGGCATGAAGACTGAAGCGCTAGCAGTTCTCGACGCTGAATCGAAAGTACGCATCATCGATGATGACCTCTTAGCGACGCACGGTGTCACGCCGAAAGCCCGCGTGTCCATGCCCGGCGTCACCGACCTTGACCTCATGAACGTGCACGTCGCATGCAATACGCACGACAACGCTCTGGCAGGCATCGGTAACAGACATTACGCTAAGAAGTACGCTGAGGTCAGTTACGAAGGGGTAGAGTTCAAAAATCAAGTCGGCAACCCGTACGAAATCATTCGTCGACCTCTCCACGCGATGGTTGAGACGATTACGCCAGTCCTACTCGATATCGACGAAAGTGAAATCAAACGGGTCGACTCTAAATCCATGGACATCCCAATGAGCGAAGTAGTGTCAGAACTCCATGGAAAAACTCTGTTCCCACTCCACAAGATGATTTCAGAGATAGCTCCAAACAGTTTCACAGAAAAACTGATCGAAGAAAACTTCGACGCAGTCTCGGGCACATGCCTTCCCAAAGCACCCGTGACAAAGGCGTTTGTGAAGCCAAATGAGACCCTGAACAAGATAAAGCCGCGGCTCGCGCAGCACGCGGGACCACAGGGCTCGGCGATGAGCGCTCTGATGAACAAGACCATAGAGGAGTGTATCTTTCGGCTCCCATACTTCGTTATCAGGAGTATCAAAGGTACAGACCATCATGGTGTCAGCGAGCGCATCTTGTCCTTCTACCAAGACTACAGCTCTGGTGGATTCGCATCTACCGATTGGGAGCTTTGACTCGTCTGTGACCGACAAATGCACGGGCGATGTGACCAAGCCCGGCATCCGCCGGATCCTGGAGGAAGCTCTGATGAACGGGGTTGCGAAGAAATTCCCCGACGCTGCAGACTACCAGAATGCCGCCAAGACCCGATGGAAAAAGAAGGACACAGTCTTGTTTGACACGCTGACCCTGATTACCGAGATCTTGATACGATATTCAGGGGATGGACTGGCTTCGGTGGGGAATTATTACATCAACTGGAACGTCGACAAGACCGTTGACGCCATCGCCGAAGCCACGTTTACTCTATGGGACTGGAGCGAGTACACATTGAAAGAAATAGTTGAATGCCTTCCTACATTCCTCTGCGACAAGAACAACATCAAGCAGATAGTCGACTATGTCAAGTGGAAAGCTTCTTACATTGCCGAAACCATCAAGCGAGAATCGACCGGCAAACACGTGGAGAAACCTGACTCAGAATTCATCGACGGTGAGGGGGACGATAGGCTGAAGGGATACCGGTGGAAATTCATCCAGAAGTTCAGGTGCAAGGACAAAACCGGAAAAGACTGTCGAGAGGTTCTTGGCATCATCACTGCGATCCTCTACGTCGCAGCTGGAATGAGCTTAGAGCCTCAGGATCGTTCCGGCCGAGTCTCACCTGAGAAGCTGATAGACACCACCAACCGTATCGAATTCACAAGCCGAATCTTCGTGCCACTCAGCAGGGGCAAGAAGATGATGAGTTTCCCGAAGCTTCGAAAAACGTTCGCAGCTGCAACAGTCTCTTTCAACGTGACCGACGAGTTTACCAAGGCTGCAGCAACAAAGATGCTGTCAATCATGGGCATGTGTGACGAATGCCCTCTTCAGCTTCCGTTTTACGCCGTGATATTTCGCTACTACATGGAGAAGATTACTGACGATAACATCGTCATGGATAAACGGAAATACGAATGGTGGGAGCTGAAGCTCATTTACATCGTGAAGGACAATAAATTGGACAGCACCCTGAGCACTGTATACAAGCACCTCATGGACAAGGCCTCGAGCCGTACGTCCCCGGAATTGCAGGCTCAGATGATTGACGCACTCGCGGTCGAGATGCGGTTGGAAAAAACAAGCGATCGTCGACTTAATCGATGCTTTCAATGGAGCGGAAGGAGACGGCCTTAGATCGGTTGAGGGGCTCGTACAACGCTACATTAGCGTGCTGCCTCCTGTCTGAGTTTTCTCAGACAGTGCAGTCACGACACCCCAACATATCGTACGGTCGTAATGACCTCTTGCTGTCAACAAGGGGTAGGAGGACCCTGACCTCGGCTACCGAGCCCCTAGCTTTCCGCCCGTGGTCAACTAATATCGTAGTAGGGTAGCCTGTGTACCCAAACTCCAGAGCGCGCAGCCATCTGGAGATAGGGTGGCCTTCTGATGAGCGACGCCCCCGCGTCTTGCCAGCGGATAGCGCGCGAAAGCCCCATCACCCGAAGGGAGCGGACCCGTCATGGGACCCTGGATTCAAGATCCTGGGGAAACTTTTCCTGGGAACCTTGAATCTTGAATCTTGAATCCCGGAGTATTGAAGTTCAATCCGGAGCATTGAACTTCAATACTCCTTGTCCCTCATCGTGCTTGACCATTGAGGCCTTGAAATTTAAGTACACTATGCACTCTAGAAACGTCTCTACTGGTGTAATATAAACACACAGATAATCAACCAGAAAAAAATCAGGAAGAAGGAAAATATAATCAACACGCTGGGGCAAAGAAAACAAATTACGAACGAAAAAAAGAAATACGCAGTGCCAGAACAAGAAAAACACAAAACAAGCAGAAAAGGTGTGGATAACTGGGGGGGGGGGTACCATTTATTTCATTCCTGCCAAATCAAATATAATTGAATTTTTCCAAAGAGACATCCTCTGAAGACCTTCTTTTCAGAGATTTCTTCTGGATTTATTTGGGCGAAGATTTCTTGGCGAAGAATTTTATCATTCATGTCATTTCATTTCTGCCAATCCAAATCTGATTGGACATCTTCTAGAGAAAAATCTCTGAATATCTTCCTTTTTAGAAAATTTTTCTGGATTCGTTTGGCGGAGATATTTTGATGAAGGATATTGATTTTTCATTTCATTCCAGAATGGCTGGGATATATGGATCAATTATGAGGGCATTTCTATCATTCCAAATATAATTGGAAATTCTCTAAAGAGAAATCCTCTGAAGATCTTCTTTTCAGAGGTTTCTTCTAAGACCATTTGGACGAAGATTTCTTGACGAAGAATTTTTTTCATTTATTTCGTTTCTATCAAATCAAATATAAATGGAAACCTTCCAGAGAAAATCCTCTGAAGATCTTCCTTTTTAGAGACTTTTTTCTGGATTCGTTTGGCGAAGATTTTTTAATGAGAATATTGATTATTCATTTCATTCCTATCAAATCAAGTATGATGACAGTTTTTCTAAAGAGAAGTATTCTGAAGACCTTCTTTTCAGAGATTTTCTTCTGGGATTATGTGGGCGAAGATTTATTGACGAAGAATATTATCATTTATTTCATTTCTATCAATTCAAATATGATTGGAAATCTTCTAGAAAATCTTTCGAAATTCTTCCTTTTTAGAGACTTTTCTGGATTCATTTGACGAAGGTTTTTTGATGAAGAATATGGGTTTTTTTCATTTCATTCCTGCCAAACCAAATATGATTGAAATTCTCAAAAGAGAAATCCTCTGAAGATCTTCTTTTCAGAGATTTCTTTGGGGATTATTTGGGAGAAGATTTCTTGGCGAAGAGTATTATCATTCATTTCATTTCTGTCAATTCAAATATGATTGGAAATTTCTTGGAGAGAAATCCCGGCAATAATTGTTCCGAAGATTTCTCTCAATATGATAATATTCTAATATTTGAATAATGAATGAGAATTTATAAATCATCTTTCTGTCAAATCAATTATTATAGGAATTCTCACTGGGGGCCCTAGGAAACTAAGTGGGGTCAGTGTTAAGAGTTGAGCAGCATGAACCCTAAACCCTAAACCCTAAACCCCAAACCCCCCAAAACCCTAGAATAAAGCTCACAGGAGCGCCCCATGCCTGGCTGGCAGCTTGCCGTGGCCAACTTCCAGAACGAATGGAGGTCCTTAGGGGGCTTGGGACTTTGGGGTTTAGGGTTTCGGGTCAGGGTTTAGGGTTTCGGGTTTAGGGCTTAGGGATTCTTAGGGTTGAGGGTTTAGGGCTTTAGGGCTTCAGGGCTGACTTCCTAAGCCTCGTCGGCGGGCCATGCCGCACCCCAACCGGTCTGCGAAGGAAGAAGGCAATGGAGAGCTGTTGAAGCTCGCTACTCTGCTGCAGGGGACTACCCTGAGAAGGCGCTGCCTTCTCCCGACTGCAACTCTGGAACTGCGGGAAGAGCTGCAGCGGCTGTGCGATTTGCCTGCCCAACAATCGCTACCTGTCCATTCTCAGCAAGAAGGCTGCAGGGCCAGGAGGCCTGGCACGCAGGAGCCCCAGCGCGCCCACAGAGACCTCGCGTCCTGGTGGGATTTGTCTAATTCGTGTGATGCTGCCCGTCAGCTTCCTGTCCTGTCAGTTTGCCTTGAAAGTTTTCGGGTTTAATGCATAGGGCTTTTGGGGTTTAGGATTTAAGTTTTCCTTCAAACCAGAACAGCATAGGTTAATCAATCCATCAGTTGCAGAGTGGATTTTCAGGGGGGGGGGCACCCTAGACCCTATACCCTAAAGGGGCTCAGGGTTGTAGGGCTTCTGGTCTTTAAGGGGTTCGGGCTTTGGGATTTTAGGGTTTAGGGCTTACAAGGCGTTTAGGGTCAACCTGAATCATGAAACTTGGCACAAACCTACAAAATCTAAGCCCTGAACCTTGACACAAACCTGTAAACTCTAAACCCTGAACCCTAACCCCCTAAGCCCTAAACGGCTCCAAACTCTAAGCCTCAGTTCTAGGTTCCATCGAAACCCCTGCAAGAAACTAAACCCCCCTGGTTTGTGGGTAGAGAAGAGAAATCCTAAGCCCTAGACCCTCAGTGAATTTGAGGGTTCGCAGTTTTACAGAAACCCTAAACCCTAAACCCTAAACCCTAAACCCTAAACCCTAAACCCTAAACCCTAAACCCTAAACCCTAAAACCCTCAACCCTTAGGGGTTCAAGGCAGAGTCCCAGGCGTACGCTTGTCGGCAACTGCAGCCAATGCCCAAAAATAGGGTTTAGGGTTTAGGGTGTATGGTTTAGGGTTTAGGGTTTAAGTTTTAGAGTTTGGGGTTTAGGGTTTAGCAGGTCTGCAGTTCCTTCTTCAGGGTTTAGGGCTTTAGGGGGTTGGGTTTAGGTTTAGGGTTTGGGGTAGCTTAGGGTTTAGGGTTTGGGGTTTAGGGCTTCGGGTTTAGGGTTTAGGGTTCAGGGTGGAGGGTTTTGGGGCTTATGCCTGTAGGTTCATTGAGTATGTAGGGTTGTATGAACACCGATAAGATTACAAGCCATTGCAATCACCTCATTGTCATTTGGAGTCTTCGTAGATAGAGTCTCTTGCAAATCAAGCACCCTAAACCCCAAAGCCCCAAACCTTAAACCCTAAAGCCCAAACTCTCAACCGCAAACCCTAAACGCCAAAGCCCAAACCCTAAAACCCCAAACCCCAAACCCCAAACCCCAAACCCTAAACCCTAAACCCTAAACCCTAAACCCTAAACCCTAAACCCTAAACCCTAAACCCTAAACCCCAAAACCCTAAACCCTAAACCCTAAACCCCAAACCCCTAAACCCTAAACCCTAAACCCTAAACCCCAAACCCCAAAACCCTAAACCCTAAACCCCAAACCCTAAACCCCAAACCCTAAACCCTAAACCCCCCAAAATCGAAGGCTCCTGCTGCGCGCCGCGCGCTTCCGCGGCTCAGCGCTGCGGCGCACGCCGCGCTACGTGGATGCCGGGAGACCCGGGTTCGGGGTTTAGGGTTTAGGGTTTCGGGTTTAGGGTTTAGGGTTGAGGGTTCAGGGTTTAGGGTTTAGCGTTGAGGGTTTAGGGTTTAGGGTTTAGGGTTTCGGGTTTATGGCTTAGGGTTTCGGTTTTAGGGTTTAGGGTTTCGGTGGTTTGGTGTTTAGGGTTTAGGGTTTAGAGTTTTGGGTTTGTGGTTTGGAGTTTGGGCCATATGTTTCAGAAGTTCCTTTTGGTATGTCATGTACGTGCTGTTATTGTTACGACATCACTATTAGTATCAGTATCATCATTCTTATTGTGAATATGTGTGCTCTTATTTTCTACTGATTAGTATTATGCTTATATTATTACTTCTTTATTTCTGTCAGTATTCTACTTATTTTTTTTATTGCCATTTTCTTGTTCTATGTTATTCTTATTACTACTATATGTAGATTATGATTATCCTCATTGTCATTACTACTGTGTCCTTACAACTATGAGCTTTCAGGGAGCGGCGAAGTTGAAGTGGCTTTCCCGGATTCAGGAGATACCCCGAAGCCCCGAAGCAGGGATCTCAAGCCATAAATCCCTCTCTCAACCGCGTCAAAGCCGAAGCTCCAAAACTGCACGCGCCAAACCCTAAACCCGAAACCCGAAACCCTAAACCCTAAACCTGAAACCCGAAACCCGAAACCCGAAACCCTAAACCCTAAACCCTAAACCCTAAAAACCCTGAAACCCTAAACTCTATAAACCCTGCGCCCTCAAACTCTCAGCCCCAGACTTCCTCCACTTAATGAACTCAACCGCTCAACCCCAAGATGCCCTGAAGCACCGTTCTTTGCTTTAGGGTTTTCCCTAAACCCTAAACCCTAAACCCTAAACCCTAAACCCTAAACCCTAAACCCTAAACCCTAATCCCTAAACCCTAAACCCTAAACCCTAAACTTGGGTTTTTGGGTTTTAGGGTTGTAGGTTGTTAGGGTGTTCGGGTTTTGGGTTTCGGTTTGTCTGCGGCTTCCGGTTAAAAGCAGCTCGGCCGCTGAGGCCCTGGTACTCAGCAACCAGGCACTTCGGTGAGGGCGGGGGGTTTAGGTTTCGATTTCTTGGGATTGAAGGGGATATAACCCCTGCAAAAAGACACACCTTATATTACACAGCCCCTCTATACCGAAGTTGGGAAACCCATGACTACGCCTTTCGACTCTTGTTTCTATCTCGCTGCGACTCGACATCAAATCGAGCACTAGACCATGTCTTGCCTCGCGTCAAAGTCTTTAAAGTGTGGGTTCCCTATTTCCCCCCCTCTATACTACCCCCACTAGGTACCCCCAAAAGCAAAGCTATTTAAGGGCCATGAAGCGTATTTAAGGTTATTTAAGGGGGGAACTTAAAGAGGGGTAGAGTTGGGGGGTGGGGGGGTGGGGGTAGTAGGGGCATGAAGAAAAGGTTGCAGTTCACTTCCCCGAGGGTGACATAGCTTCTGTCATGGGGAGAGGACGCTTGGGAGAATCACAAGGCTTTTGGGCTGGGGCTTCCTAAGCCCTTTAGGCTTTAATGAGTTTAGGGTTTAGGGTTTAGGGTTTAGGTTTAGGGTTTAGGGTTTAGGCCTTAATGCCTAAAGCCCAGGGCGCCCCTGTTGACCCGACAGCAGCCGAAGGCCGTGATAGACCGCGAGCACGCCCGGCCGCAGGTCCCAACGCCACCACCGGCCGGGGGCGGAGCAGGGCTTTCAGGGTCTGGGCGTTGGTGTTTGGTGTTCAGGGTTTTAGGGTTTCAGGGTTTAGGGTTTAGGGTTTTAAGGTTGTTGGGCCGAGTTAGGTTGATGAGTCGGGCCGCAGGTGTTTGTGCCTGATCTTGATCATACGGCAGGGCTTGCATTTTCTCTAGCTGGAATCCTGGAAGCCCTCAACCCGTAGTAACCCTTGGGTGTAGGGTGTAGGGTGTAGGGTGTGGGGTTTAATTAGGGTTTAGGGTTTAGGGTTTAGGGTTCGGGCCTAAAACAGACACACACACACACACCCTAAAAGCCCATTTGTTACGCATAGGGGCAAGCCTTAAGCTGTCTAAGTGGGGACGGGGAAATCACGGATGTCCACAGACTGCCATCGAAAGTGGGTTTAGAGTTCAGGGTTTGAAAGGCCTCACGGGTTTAGGGTTTAGGGTTTAGGGTTTAGGGTTTAGGGTTTAGGGTTTAGGATTTAGGGTTTAGGGTTTAGGGTTTAGCCCTAAGGGTTTAGGTTTTAGGGTTTAGGGTTTAGGGTTTAGGGGGAACCTACGCAGTAGGGGCATGGGACTTTTTCTAGAACTCCGGGAATTCCTCCCACACAAAAAGAAGCCCAAGGAACCCTAAGCTTATTCAAAAAAAGGAGCCTTAACATCCCTAAAGTTTAGGGTTTAGGGTTTAGGGTTTTGGTTTAGGGTTTAGGGTTTGGGTTTCAGGTGTAGGGTTTAGGGTTGAGGGTTAACCCTAAACCCCTAAACCCTTTAGGGTGTAGGGGCCCAGGTCCGGGTGGCCTACGACGTCCTCTGCTGGCCTGGGGGCCTAAACCCCCAACCCTTAAGCCTCAACCCCTTCAGGGTTAGGGTTTAGGGTTTAGGGTTTAGGGTTTAGGGTTTAGGGTTTAGGGTTTAGGGTTTAGGGTTTAGGGTTTAGGGTTTCCGGGTCAAGTTTTTGTGGGGTTCTTCGATTGGTGGGGTTTCGGGTTTAGGCACATGAAACATGTTGGCGGAACCCCAGAACTGCGGACTCAGATCTCCTGATGGTTTTCTAGGGTTTAGGGTTAAGGGCGTAGGGTTTACGATTTAGGATTTAGGGTTTAGGGTTTCTAGGGTTTATAAGGTTTCTAGGGTTTTATAGGGTTTATAGGGTTTGCAGGGTTTATGGAGTTTGTGGGGTTTCTAGGGTTTCTAGGGTTTGTAGGGTTTATAGAGTTTAAAAGGGTTTGTAGGGTTTGTAGGGTTTCTAGGGTTTCTTGGGTTTCTAGGTTTATAGAGTTCATAGGGTTTGTAGGGTTTGTATTGTTTATAGGGTTTAGGGTTGAGGGTGGATGGTTTAGAGTAGCCCCCATGACTTCCCCATAATCCCCTACACATCCCCTAAGCCAATTCCAACTTCCTGAACGGCTTAGGGTGACTGGCTTGGGGCCCCTAAACCCTGAGCCCTAAACCCTATGACATTGAGCCCCTAAACAGTATGACCCCAAGCCAGCGGGTGTTGTGATCATCGAAGTTCGCTTTCAAGTTCTACTAAGTCCACAGCTGAATCCTTAACCCTAAGTCCCAAAACCCCAAATCTTGAAAGCCCCAAACCCTAGGGCCTTATGTAAACCCTTAATCCCTAAACCCCAAACCCCAAACACCGAAACCCCAAACCCCAAACCCCAAACCCCAAACCCTAAACCCGAAGCCCCAAACCAGAGGACTGCAGAAACCCGAACCCTAGACCCTAACCCAGGTTTATCGACGTCGTCTTCGAGGATCGACCCATCCAGAGGCCGTAAGATTGCTCGGGGAGTGTACGGTTCGGGCTTTTTTTGGGTTTAGGTCTTAAACCCTAAACCCTAAACCCTAAACCCTAAACCCTAAACCCTAAACCCTAAACCCTAAACGCTAAACGCTAAACGCTAAACGCTAAACCCTAAACCCTAAACCCTAAACCCTAAACCCTAAGCCCTAAACCCTAAACCCTAAACCCTAAACCCTAAACCCTAAACCCCAACCCCTGCCTCGGCTTTAGCGTTTGCAGGGGTTTCGGCACGTTGGGGCGTAAGGCTTTTCTGGGATCCCTGGAGGTTCAACCACTTGCGCACGTTTAAGGGGGGTTTATTAGGGTTTAGGGTTTAGGGTTTAGGGTTTAGGGTGTAGGGTTTAGGGTTTAGGGTTTAGGGTGGGGCTTAAGTGGTTTTAGGCGTTTGTCTGTTTCCGGGGTTGAAGTGGAGTTCAAAGCTGGGGGGTGCAAAGTTTGGTTCGATGTTCTTTCTCAGGGTTTTCACTGTAAGGGGTCTTTAAGTTTTAGGGTTTAGATGTTCTAGATTGGGGGTTTAGGGTGTGGGTTTGGTTGTTCCAGATTGGTTAGGGTTAGGGGTCTCCAGGTTTCGGGTTTTGAGGCGTGGAGTTCTGAAGCCCAAACCCTAAGCCTTGAACACGGAATTGGGGGTTTACGAAAATAGGGGACCCTGAAAATAGAACCCAAATACCAGGATCCCCGTATAGTAAGGACCACCTAGAAGGGACCCCCTCCCCCCCTCCCAATTTCGGAGACCACCAATGGAGAAACACTCCCCAACTCAATGAGGAACTACTGTAGGGGAGTGTAGGGTGGGGGAGTGCATGCTTCATGAGCTCAAACAAACCACCCTAACCGGGTTTAGGGTTTAGGATTTAGTGTTTAGGGTTTGGGGTTTGGGGGTTAGGGTTTAGGGTTTAGGGTTTAGGGTTTAGGGTTCAGGGTTTAGGGTTTAGGGTCTTCCTCAGGTTCTGGTTCCTGGAGACAGTGGCGCGGATGCCTTACTTCGCCTACACCTCGGCGCTCCGCTCAGCTGTTTAGGGTTTAGGGTTTCGGGTTTCGGGTTTAGGGTTTAGGGCTTCCCCTCGCCTGCTTTTGTGGTGCAGTGGGGGTGTCTAACCCTAAACCCTAAGCCCTAAGCCCTAAACCCTACACCCTAAACCCTAAACCCTAAACCCTCTCTACCACATATATATTTAAACCTTAATGGAATTTCAGAACAAGGCCGCTTTATTTTCAGAATAAGGCCGCTTTATTTTCGGAATAAGGCCGCTTTATTTTCAGGATACGGCCGCTTTATTTTCAGAATAAGGCCGCTTCATTTTGAGAATAAGGCCGCTGTATTTTCAGAATAAGGCCGCTTTATTTTCAGAATAAGGCGGCTTTATTTTCAGAATAAGGCCGTTTTTTGCTTTCTTTCGGGTTTAGGGCCTACTCTGGGCTGGCTTTAGGGTTTAGGGCCTACTCTGGGCTGGCTTTAGGGTTTAGGGCTTTAGCGTTTAGGGCCTACTCTGGGCTGGCTTTAGGGTTTTGGGCCTACTCTGGGCTGGCTTTAGCGTTTAGGGCCCAGTCTGCGTTTAGGGCCTACTCTGGGCTGGCTTTAGCGTTTAGGGCCTACTCTGGGCTGGCTCTATAGGGTTTAGGCCCTACTCTGGGCTGGCTTTAGGGTTTAGGGCCTACTCTGGGCTGGTTTTAATCTGATGAGCAACACTCGAGGCTGTAGCCATTTATTTTATGATTTGAGTAAACTTTTTTCTCAATGTAATGGGATTCTCTGGGTGGGTGGGTGTTATATCACACCCGTAAATAAAGCTTGACCATAAACCTGCTCGACCCGGAGTGCTGAACCCTAAACCCTAAACCCTAAACCCTAAACCCTAAACCCTAAACCCTAAACCCTAAACCCCAAACCACCGAAACCCTAAGCACCGCCCTGTAGCCTAAGCCCCCCGCAAGGTGCTCCATCTCTACGAGACCTTCGGCTGGTGGCGTTCCCCCGAACTGCGCGCGGTGCACGCGGTGCGCCTCCCAGGGGCGTGGTCGGTTTGGGGGCTTGGGGTTTGGGGGTTTGGGGGTTTAGGGTGTTAGGGTGTTTGGGGGTTTGGGGGTTTGGGGTTTTAGGGTTTAGGGTTTAGGGTTGGGGGTTTAGGGTTTAGGGTTTGGGGGGTGTAGGGTTTCGGGTTTCGGGGGTGGGGTTTAGGGTTTAGGGATTAGGGATTAGCGGATTTAGGGGTTTGGGATTTAGGGGTTTTGGGGTTGGGGGGGGGTTTAGGGGTTTTGGGTTTTCCCTCCCCAAGGTCCTGCGACTTTTGGTTGGTAAAGGCGTGTAGGGTTTCGGTCCTAGAGTGACCTCGGCCTACATCCTAAATCCTGGAACCCTAAACCCTAAACCCTAAACCCTAAACCCTAAACCCTAAACCCTAAACCCTAAACCCCCCCTATGTAAACCTTTTAGGGTTGAGGGTCTTGGTATTCAGGTGTTTTGGGTTTAGGGTTTGGGTTTAGGGTTTGGGGTTTAGGGTTTAGGGTTTAGGGTTTAGGGTTTAGGGTTTAGGGTTTAGGGTTTAGGGTTTAGGGCACCTCCGGACTGCCAGGCGGAGGAGAACAACGAGCCTGGGCCCTCAGCCTCCCTGAGACCCTAAGCCCTAGACCCCTGAACCCTCAACCCCAAACCCTAAACCCTAAACCCTAAACCCTAAACCCTAAACCCTAAACCCTAAACCCTAAACCCTAAACCCTAAACCCTAAACCCTAAACCCTAACCCTAACCCTAAACCCTAAACCCTAAACCCTAAACCCTAAACCCTAAACCTTAAACCCTAAACCCTAAACCCTAAACCCTAAACCCTAAACCTCTCTACCAAATAAACCCAAATGTTAAACACGAATTTGAATGTGGGAATTGGATCAGTTTCTTATTTTCTCTCACTTTTTTTTACCCCCCCCATTGTTCAGCGCCTGTTTCTAGTCGGGGTCCTTAAAAGGCAGGTTAAGGGTTTAGGGTTCAATAGACGGGTAAAAAAAGCAATAGACAGGCAAAAATATGGGTCAAATCAATATCGGCTTCAGAAAGAGCGACGCGCTCTCAGCAAGAAGGTTCGAACTGAATCAAGCGACCTGGTCCACATAATAGCCAGGATTGGTTGAAATCTGAAAGCGCCCTAAACCCCAAACCCCAACCCCCAAACCCCAAACCCTAAACCCTAAACACTAAAAAACATCCAAAAAAGGATGCTAAGCAACCTAAGGGCCCTAAGAACCCCTAAACCTCCCAAAAGCCCAAAAACTTTAAACCCTCCACGCTACTCCTCAAAAGCCCAAAGCCCGAATGGACCTTTTAATCCCTGAAGCCTTCAAAAGGCAGTGAGCCTGAACTCTAAACCATAAACCCTAAACCTTAAACCTTAAACCTTAAACCCTAAACCCTAAACCCTAAACCCTAAGCCTAGAGTCCTAGAGGTTGCACCACTTGCTCATCATGGAATCCTTAGGCGCGGGCGCCAAGAGTTCTCCTCAACGGCTTCGGCAGGGTTCAGGGTGTAGGGTTTAGCGTTTGGGGTTTAGGGTTTAGGGTTTAGGGTGTAGAGCTTCAGGCGATAAGGCGCCAAAGTTCCACCCAACTTGCCGAAAACCCCAAAGCAGTGCTTCAGGGCTTGAGGGTCGGGAGCCCTGAGACGTAAACCCTTAAGCCCTTCTTCGAAGTTGTAGGGTTTAGGGTTTAGGGTTTAGGGTTTCGGGTTTAGGGGTAGTTCTTGCTTTGGGTAAGGTTTTCGAGTTGGAGGCTAAGGAGGAGGAGGAGGAGGAGGAGGAGGAGGAGGAGGAGGAGGAGGAGGAGGAGGAGCCAGGATTTCATCAGGGCATTGGGGCCCTTAAGGCTCAGGGTTGGGGAAGTGTTTAGGGCCTAGGGCTTTAGGGTTTGGGTTTAGGTGGTGCAGGGAAAGCGAAGCCCTCAAACCGAAAGACAGTTGATGTCTCCGCAGCGAAGCCATCACGTGAAGATGCCAGTCATAAAATGCTCCAAATATGCCTCCAAAACCCAAGGGTGCAACCTTCAGGGTCCAAGGCAAAACCCCTAGAACCAGGAGCCTGATACTCTGACCCGAAATTGCGTCGCCCGAAAGGAAAAGGCACCCTTGCAGCCCCCCTCCCAAGAGTTCCGCACAAACTCTCCGATGCGAAAAACCTGCGTCGGATGCTCCGCTAGCCGAAGCCCTACTAAGCACCCCCGAAACCCTAAACCCCCTAAACCCTAAACCCTAAACCCTGAACCCTGAACCCGAACCCCTAAACTCTAAACCCTAAACCCTAAACCCTAAACCCTAAACCCTAAGCCCTAAATACAGGAGGAGACCAGCGGTGGCTTGACCGGCCTGGCACTCAGCCGCACAAGGTTGCTTCTGGGCTCCGGGGGCTGGCATGGGTTTAGGGTTTGGGGTTCAGGGTTTAGGGTACAGGGCTTAGGGTTATGGGTTTAGGGTTTAGGGTTAGGGTTTAGGGTTTAGGGCTTAGGGTTTAGGATTTAGGGTTTAGGATTTAGGGTTTAGGGTTTAGGGTTTAGTCTTAGGGTTTACGGTTTAGGGTTTAGGGTGCAGTGCTGCAGGGTTGTCGGGTTTGAAGTTTCGGATTGAGGGGTTTTAGGCTTTTTAGGGTGTTGGGGTTTTGGGGTTTTTAGGGTTCAGGGTTTAGGGCTGCAGAGTTTGGGGCTTCGGGTTTGGGGTTTGGTGTTCAGGATCCTAGAGTTTAGGCGAGGATTCCTGCTGGGAAGGGCTCGTTGAGGGTTTAGGCTTTAGGGTTTAGGGTTTAGGATTTAGGGTTTAGGGTTTAGGGTTTAGGGTTTAGGGCCAACAGGGTTAGTGCTTCAGGCGTGGGCTCTCGTGCCGGCTGAAAGGTGATTGGTTTCGGTTCTTGTCTCCTAAAGACTTCGCAGCGCCGCCTTCCACTGTGAGGCCTTAGGGTTTAGGGTTTAGGGTTTAGGGTTTAGGGTTTAGGGTTTAGGGTTTAGGGTTCAGGATGTAGGGTTTAGGGTTTAGGGTTTAGGTTTTGGGTGGAGGGTTTTAGGGTTTAGGGTATAGGGCACGCCCCGCATTCGAACATCCTCAATGTCACAACCCAGGTGCGCAACCTGAAGTTTCGCAGAGATCAGGGCCTCAGTAGGAGTTGTGAAAGCCCAGTGACCGAAGCCCTAAACCCTAAACCCTAAACCCTAAACCCTAAACCCTAAACCCCAAAACCTTAAACCCTAAACCCTAAGCCCTGAACCCTACATCCACCCTAAGCCCTTGAGCTCCCCCCTAAGCCTTGAAGCCACCGCGTTGCACTTCACTTCGGGGGTCCTAGGTCCTAACATTTTCGGTCATGGCATGATGGTTTAGGGTTCATCTATAGGGTTTAGGGTTTAGGGTTTAGGGTTTAGGGTTTACCTCTTTGATGTAAGGCAAGTGCTTGTGGACCAGCCGGCAGGCTTCCTTCGGATGTTCAGCAAGAAGGCCTACAAGGAGACCTGTGGACGTGACGCCACAGAGAATGGCCTGCAGCTCGAGGACGCGACCCTCCCGGACGACAGCACTAAGAGTGTCTTCCAGCGCGGAAGATGTGATGATGTGATTCAAGAGCGACTGCTTCAGGTCTGGATCGGGCTGAAGGATGTTTGGGATCAGCACATGGACCAGGACGTGTACCAAAAACCCCCCATGTCCCCCCCCCCCCCCCCCCCCCCCCCGTGCACGCCAGACCCCTAGACCCCGAAACCTAAACCCCGAAACCCAAAAACCCAATTCCTAAGCCTCTAAACCCACAAACAACCCTAAACCCTAAACCCCTAAACCCTAACCCCAAACCCTAAACCCTAAACCCCTAACGCCCCGAAGCCCGAAAAGGTTCTTCGCCCAGCATGGGGCTGTGGCGTACTACTGGCTTCTGGTGCTGTGCCCTGCCTGCCTCATAGGGCTTAAGGTTAGGGTTTATGGTTTCGGGTTTAGGGTTTAGGGTTGAGGGTTTGGGGTTTAGGGTGTAGGGTTTAACAAACCCTGAACTAAACCCCAACCCCTCAACCCTAAATGTCTGCAATCCCGTTGAGGCATTGGGGTTTGCGGGTTCAGTGTTTAGGCATCGCCTCGGGAATTGACCCCGAAAGCCCCAAACCCCAAACCCCAATGAAACCATGCCCTCAGCAGTAGGGTGTGCGAGTTTCAGGCTTCTATATGTTCTTAGTTGCTGAGTGAGTACACTTTACACTTTTTGGGATACTATAATCCCCGATAGAACTGAAAGTGTACACTTTTTGGGGCTTATGAACTCAGCAACTAAGTGTTTGTTCGGCGCGTTCAGGGCTTTCCTGTTGCGGGTGCAAAGGAATTGAACCCTAAACCCTAAACCCGAAACCCGAAACCCTAAACCCTAAACCCTACACCCTAACCCCTAACCCCCAACCCCTAAACTCTAAACCCTAAACCCTAAACCCTAAACACTAAACGACCACGAGAACCCAAGAAGACAGTTTAGATGTACCCTCAACCCTAAGCCCCGAACCCCCAAGATGCTTTAGGGTTTAGGGCCTAAGCATACTCAACATAGGGTTTAGGGTTTAGGGTTTAGGGTTTAGGGTTTAGGGTTTAGGGTTTAGGGTTTAGGGTTTAGGGTTTAGGGTTTAGGGTTTAGGGTTTAGGGTTTAGGCCTCGCACCTTCGGCCCCAAACCTTTCCCAAAGCAGTTTGAAGATCGGCATCTGAAAGGTTCTTCGTCGTGGACCCCAAGTGGTCCTACAACTTCAGCCGCCTGATCGAGGCATCCAACAAGACTTTTCTCAGCTTCTTTCCAGGTGGACCCCTAGTCTGTAGGGTTCAAGGCTAAGCCCTCCTAAAACCTGAACCCTCAGCCCCAAGCCCTAAGCCCGAAGCCTTAAACCCTAAACCTGAAACCCTAAACCCTCCAACCCTGCAAACCTTAAGTTGGCGTGCATGTCCTCCCCTTTCGAGACCCCACAATCGGCGTAGGAGTAGATGCAGCAGTCATGGGCTTTGGCTTGCTTTGTTCAGGGTCGAGAGTTCGGGTTTAGAAAGCAAGGAGAACAACAGTATTTTGGGGGTGATGAAGGGGTAACCCTACTCGGGGAAATGCCCATGTATGGTTTCTCAGCCCTAAACACTAAGCCCTAAGCCCGAAGCCCTAAACCTTAAGCCCTAAACCCGAAACCCGCCACCTCATGCTCTGGTTGTGACCGTCTTGTGGCCCCTGGCCCAACTGCTGCTCCCGTGATCCCATAAACCCTAAAACCTAAACCTTACATCTGCTCTCAATTGGCACAATTTGGCTGGTTCTCTACATGCTGGTCCACTCTGATGCGGGGCCTGCTATCCCCCTACAGATACGCTTTGAAAAAAGGCGTACGATTCCCACAACTCTCTGCAGCCTCTGTTAAGACACCTTTTCAAATCATGCCTTGGATGCCTTGGGGTTTATATCGGGTTTCGGGTTTCGGGTGTTAGGGTTTTGGGGTTTTCGGGTGTTAGGGTTTTAGGGGTTTCGGGTTTTGGGGTTTTGGGGTTTTAGGGTTTTCGGGTTTTAGGGCATTAGGGTTTTAGGGTTTTAGGGTTTTAGGGTTTTAGGGTTTTAGGGTTTTAGGGTTTTAGGGTTTAGGGTCCAAGAACACTGGGGGAGAAAAGGCGCATGCTGTGGACACGTACGGCGAGTTCGTGGATGCCAACGAAGAGCGCCTGAAGCGACCCGGCAGATATGGAGGTTTCCGCAAATAGGGGTACCCTTTTGCGGTTCCTAAACCCTAAACCCTAAACCCTAAACCCTAGACCATAAACCCTAAACCATAAATTCCTTATGGCTGCAGGCTCGAGATTTGTATGCTATTTGGGGTATAAAAGGGTACCCCTATTTAGGGAAGTACCCATGTGGCTGCAGGCTCTGAGTTTCTTTTTTGCGGCCCGGCCAACCCTCAAACCAAAAGCTCGGCAGCCCAGTGGTACCCTTTTCCCTTCTGTTCGGTTCAATTCAAGGTTCCCTTATGAAGTAACCCTAAACCCTAAACCCTAAACCCTAAACCCTAAACCCTAAACCCTAAACCCTAAACCCAAAAAGGGTGGCCTTGTTGCAATATGGTTACTGGGCTACCAAGAAAGGTTCAGAGTTCAGGTTTAGGGGCGGTTTCAGGGGTTTAGAGCGCAGGTTTAGGGTTTTCGGTTAAGGCTTGAGGGGCGCTCAAGCTTTGCTCTAAGTGACCGAAGCTCGAGTTTAGGGTTTGGGGTTTAGGGTTTTAGGGTTTAGGGTTTTAGGGTTTAGGGCTTAGGGTTTTGGGGTTTAGGGTTTAGGGTTTCGGGTTTGGGGTTTAGGGCTTTAGGGTTTAGTTGGGGTGTTTGGGTTTTGCTCGGCATCGATAGCCGGAAAAACGCCCTACCCGAGCTTCTTCCCCTTGGGGGGCTGCGAGGAAGATTCCGCCGCCGCCGATTGCGGTGGAGTACTACCTCAGCGACGAGGCTGCCGGGAGTTTGGCTATCGCTCCATTTGCTTGGGTTTGGCGCCCTCGCCCCCACCCCCCCCCCCCACCCCCTCCAAACAAAAAGCCCCAAACCCTAAACCCTCAACCCTCACCGAAACCCCAAACCTCAAGCCCTGCGCCCTAGGCCCTGAGCTCCCCCCCGAAGCCCCCAGAAAGGGGAAAAGCCCAATCCTAAACCCGAAACCCTAAACCCTCAACCCTAAACCCTAGGGACCCTGTAGCCCCATAGTTTAAGACCCTAAGCCCTGAACTCTAAATCCGGAACTCTACATCCCAAACCCGGAGCCCTAAACCCTAAACCCTAAACCCTAAACCCTAAACCCTAAACCCTAAACCCTAAACCCTAACCCCGAAACCCGAAACCCTAAACCCTAAACCCTAAACCCTATATAAGCCTGTCCTGCCAGCTGTACCTCTTCGACAAGATGCAAACCAGCATTCCGGAGGGCAGCAAGCGCCTGGGGGCCCGGCATAAGGGTTTAGGGTTTAGGGTTTAGGGTTTAGGGTTTAGGGTTTAGGGTTTGGGTTTAGGGTTTAGGGTTTAGGGTTTAGGGTTTGGGGTTTGGGGTTTAGGGTTGAAGGTTGAGGCCAGCCCCCCGTTCCCCCTCTCCCCCATACCTCACAAAGCCCGCAAGCCCCCAAATCCCCAAAGCAACATCCCAACCCAACCGGTTAACACCTCCAACTCCATAGAGCAGTGGGGGTTTGCGATAATACGGGACCTCAATATGGTCCCCTAAATAGTAGGATTCTCTTATAAAACGGACCCCAATAAGGTACCCTTAATTTCGGAAAGCTTCAAGTGAATCGGTCTTCTGAGCCGAACGCGTCTGACCGGGTTTGAGCGTTCAGGGGCGAGGGTTTCAAGGCGTTGACAATGTAGGGGTTCATAAAGGCATGATGCTGGCGAGACTATTTAGGCCCTCGCGAACTCTAAATCGTAAGGGATGATTTAGGCTCCTGAGGTTTTCATGGGGAGGATTGGGGTTGAGGTCTTTGGGAGGTTTGGGTGCTTCGGGGTTGAGGCTGAGGGGGTGAGGGGGTGAGTGCAAGACGGGTCTTTGAGTGGTGGGTTGATTAGGTACCTTACATCCCAAACCCTCAACCCTAAACCTGAAACCCTAAACCCTAAACCCTAAATCCGAAACCCTAAACCCTAAACCCTAAACCCTAAACCCTAAACCCTAAACCCTAAACCCTTAACCCAAGTATCGCCGAGGCAGGCCGCCCTGCGCCACGCTGTACGATGCCAGGGGGCCTTGGGGGCTTAGGGTTTAGGGTTTAGGGTTTAGGGTTCAGGGTTGGGATGTTCCCCCCTTACACTCCTTAGTAGAGGTTCTAATCGGAGTGCTATAATCCCTATTAAGGACTGTGAGTATATGGGGGAGCATTCCAAGGGGGTATATAGGGTTTAGGGTTGGGTAGCTGCTTGGGCAATCCGGTCTCTGTTATAGTAGTATCCTGAGAATGCAGGTGATTGGGAACATGAGTTCCATGCGGGGGTGTACGAGAATAAGGGGCCCTTCATATAGTCCCCCAAAGAGTAGGATTCCCTTACAATAAGTACAAGGTACCCTGCAACAGTCGATTCCTAAACCCTCAACCCTCAACCTTAAACCCTAAACCCCAAACCCTAAACCCTAAAGGAGTACTCACGTTTCCTCAAGTTGTCGGAAGATTTGGTGTGCGCCAAGAAAGCAGCCTCAGCACGACGCCCTCGCACCTAATCCCTAAACCCTAAGCCCTAAACTCTAAACCCTAAACCTTAAAACCCTTAAACCCAGACCCTAAACCCTAAACCCTAAACCCCCGACACTAAACCCTAACTAAACTTTCGACTCGCCATGACCCCCCCCCCCACCCCCCCCCCTTCCCCCCCCCCCTTCGCCCGAGGTCTTCTCCAACATCCGAGATGATGAGGCCCGTAGCTCGTGTTCGGGGTGGTAGGGTTTAGGGTTTAGGGTTTAGGGTTTAGGGTTTAGGGTTTAGGGTTTAGGGTTTAGGGTTTAGGGTTTAGGGTTTAGGGTTTAGGGTTTAGGGTTTAGGGTTTTGGGGTTTAGGGTTTAGGGTTTGGGGTTTGGGGTTTAGGGTTTCGGGTCTAAACTCTGCAAACCGCAAGCCCTAGCCCTTGGAGCCCGCTTCGTCCTAGAAGCCGAAAGCCACAAACCCTAAACCCTAAACCCTAAACCCTAAACCCTAAACCCTAAACCGTCAACCCTCAACCCTGAACCCTAAACCCTAAACCCTACACCCTACACCCTAAACCCTAAACCCCCTCCAAGAGTTGAGGGAATCCTAGCCTGGCAGACGCAGGAGCAGCACACGAAGACCATGACAGCCTGTGAGGAGTGTTTCCGGGGGTTCAGGGTTCAGGGCTTCCGGGGTTTTTTTAGGGCTTAGAGCTTAGGGTTTTAAAGGGTTTAAAGGGTTTGAAGGGTTTGAAGGGTTTAAAGTGTTTAAAGGGTTTAAAGGGTTTAAAGGATTTAAAGGGTTTAAAGGGTTTAAAGGCTTTAAACGGTTTCAAGGGTTTAAAGGGTTTAAACGGTTTAGGGTTTAGGGTTTAGGGTTTTGGGTTTTGGGTTGTGGGTTTAGGGTTTAGGTTTGTACCGGACCCGCAAAACGGCGTTTGCTTCGGGACCGGGTTCGGATCCCCACATCCCAATATAGACATCCAGATGTGGGAAGATCATATGGGGGATAGGGTTTAGGGTTTCGGGTTTAGGGTTTAGGGTTTAGGGTTTAGGGAGGACTGAAGGTTCGGGGTGTAGGGTTTTAGGGTTTGGGGTTGCCCGAACCTTCGAAACCGGGAAGCCCTAAACCCTGCACCTCCGACAAGCTCCATGAATCTAAGCTCAAGGTTTAGGGTTTAGGGTTTAGGGATTGGGGTTTAGGGTTTAGGGTTTAGGGTTTAGTGTTTAGGGTTTAGGGTTTAGTTTAACCGTAGTTGTTTGCGATCTTTTTTCAGTTTCAGGGGGTGGGGAGGCTTGTAGGTTTTCGGGAAGAGCCGCAGGGGTGAGACACTATTGCAGGATTCAGGGTTTAGGAACTGCTTTGAAGCGTTCCCTAAGCCCTAAACCCTAAACCCTAAACTCTAAGCCCTAAACCCTAAATCCTAAACCCTAAGCCCTAAGCCCTAAGCCCTTGGATTTGGGGCGACTGCAGGAGTGGAGCCAAGGGGGGAAGCCCCCTGTGGACCTCGGCCACGCGCCCAGATTTTGTGGGTTTCGGGTTTAGGGTTTAGGGTTTGGGGTTTAGGGTTTAGGGTTTAGGGTTTAGGGTTTAGGGTTTCGGGTTTCGGGTTTAGGGTTTAGGGTTTAAGGTTTAGGGTTTCGGGTTTCGGGTTTCGGGTTTAGGGTTTAGGTTTAAAGTTTAGGGTGTAGGGCTTTGGTTTCTCAAGTAGGGATGTTCCTCCGCTGAGGCCTTAGCGCCCCAAAGCTACCAAACCCTTCAGAAAACCTTGAATCCCTAACCCTACGTAGATTTGAGCCCCTAAAACCTAAACAACCCCAAACCCTGAACCCTAAACCCTCATGGTGGGTTCTCCCACTCTCTTTCATGGACCCGCAGCCCGACCCCGGGGCCAAAATAGTATCGGTCACTTGGCCGTCTTTTCGGGCGGGTAAAGTTCCCATCCCCCCCTCCCCAAACCCCCAAGGGCCCAAACCCCCAAACCCCCAACCTCCCCAACACCCCAAAACCCCCAACCCCCCCCCCCCCCCCCAACCCCCAAACCCCCAAACCTTCAAAGCCCCAAACCTCCAAACCCCCCTAAGCCCCAAGTCTAGGGTTTGGGGCTTTCTGGGGACGGGGGCTTGCTTCGCGGATCCGAAGGCTTCAACTTCAACAGCAAGCTGACCAAGGAGGAGTATCTCCGCAAGGCGGCACTGGCGGGCCCCCCTGAGCCCCGAAGCCCTAAGCTCTGAGCCCCCAAAAGCCTAAACCCTAAACCCTAAACCCTAAACCCTAAACCCTAAACCCTATGCCCTGAGGCCCCGAAGCACAGAGGCCCCTAAGCCTGAACCCAAGACTTGGGTATAGCAACTTTAGGGGCCAGCAATGTCAAACACTGTTTTTATAGGATGTCATGGAATGACAATATGTAATATATGTATATATATATATATGTATATATATATATATATATATATATGTAGTAATGATAAATTCAGAATGCGTGGTGGATATAAATGGTATGGTGTTCTTCGAACCCTCGTACGCGGGGGGCAGGTCAGACAGACGGAGGCCGGGCGCGATGCGTGGCTCGCCTGGGGCGAGGAGGTGCCCCGAGGGTGGGGTGAAGCAGCCTTGAGGTTTCTTAGGCTTCAGGGTTGCACTGTGGGTTTAGGGTTTAGGGTTTAGGGTTTAGGGTTTAGCCCTCCGCCTTTAGGGTTGGTCTTCGGCCCTGAGGCTGAAGCCCTGATTCCCGAACCGAACCTGGGACACCCTAAGCTCCTAGGTAGGATAAGGGTTTAGGGTTTAGGGTTTAGGGTTTAGGGTTTAGGGTTTAGGGTTTAGGGTTTAGGGTTTAGGGTTTAGGGTTTAGGGTTTAAGGACGCTTAAAAGGGAGCCCTTCTTAGCCCTGGTCTGGCTCTCTGGTAACAAAGAATCCTGGTAATCGAGGGAGATGTCGTAAGTTGTCTTTATGAGATTGGTTTTCAAGGGCCAGTAATAATATTATTTTCGTGCGTCCATAAACTCCTTACAAAATATTATTATGAAAGGCCCTAATTATAGTTCATATTACCGTGTTGTGGGGGCGCAAAGAACAAGATAAGAAAAAGCCCCCATAAAGGATTCTATTTCGTTCACAATATTAATACAGGTTTAGGATGTACACCATAAGACCTTTTGTAACCAGAGATCCTAATGAACGAACTAAATGAGCTCGCGAATGCATGAATCTTATCAGCGACCGCATTAATTATATTCTTCATGCACGGGCACATACTATATTTTATTAAGTTAGCCCGTGAGTACAGTAATAATACTAGTTGTACGTCCTTATATTAATATCCAAAGCACTGCTATGCATGAAGTTCCATGTGCTGGAGGCCGCTAGCCTCCCTCTTCCGTTGGCTGCTTTGGAGAACACGCATGTCTATGTGACGAATTTTGCTTCCCAGCAGCAGGCGAACCCGGACGCCTGAAGTCCATTTTGACGAGCAGGATGCAGCATGTGTACCCCCAAATGCAGGTCATAGATGAGGTGGATGCTACTGATCCCGACCTTACTCTAGCTAGTGTTTGCAAAGCAGAGTGGCTTCCTTGGTATTCGGAGCAACTTATGTAGTGTTTCAGGGCTGAGGGCCCTGCTGCTATGTCCTTTGTGATGAAAGAGTTTGGCCCGCAAACGAATAAATCCGGGCAGAGAGGCTGATCGCCTCAACCCAAGCAAACTTTACAAAGGCCTTAGAACCCCAACTCCAAAACCAAATCCCAGTCCTTGACCCCGTGTTTCCCCGAAACCCCCGTACACCTCCAAACCCTAAACCCTAAACCTTAACCCCCCAAAACCCAAAATCCTAGACCCTAAGCCCTAAACCCTAAGCCCCAAACCCTAAACCCTAAACCCTAAACCCTAAACCCTAAACCCTAAACCCTAAACCCTAAACCCTAAACCCTAAACCCTAAACCCTAAACCCTAAACCCTAGACCCTAGACCCTAGACCCTAAACCCTAACCCTAAGCCCAAGAACCTCCACACCCGCAGGTTGCGAGGGCCGCAGAACAGAGCGGGGTGGCCGGCCGACCCTTTCCGTGAGCCCGGACCTAGGAGTCCTTCAAGAACAGGTTAGGGTTTAGGGTTTAGGGTTTAGGGTTTAGGGTTTAGGGTTTAGGGTTTAGGGTTTAGGGTTTAGGGTTTAGGGTTTAGGGTTTAGGGTTTAGGGTTTAGGGTTAGGTCCTGTTTCGGCTCCGGGCTGAGAGTTCAGGGCTCTGGTTTGGGAGTCTCTGGGCGTTTGGCCCGTGTCTTGCGAGCTCTTAGTAGGGCGAAGCATTTTAGGGGTTCAAGGTTTTGGAGGGATGTGGATACATGAGGTGCCACCTCGTTCCCTCGCTCCTAAGCCCGAAACCCGAAACCCTGAAGGCTAAACCCCAAACCCTGAACCCCAAAGCACTCTTGCCTTGATACAACACAAACCAAAAACTCCTTAGCGGTTCGTGGGCATAGGCACACCGGTACGTGGCCATAGGCACACCTCTTGACTTTTCCTTTATGCTTGCACAATGGTTCGTGGGCATAGGCACAACACTTCGTAGGCATAGTACAATGCTTCGTGGGCATGCCCACGCCGGTTCGTGGGCACCCCCCCGCCCCTCCCCCGGAGATTTCGATGGTTGAAAACGAAAGAGCTTTAGGCGGGTGCTTTAAGGCTTCGGGCTTAGTTAGGGTTTTGGGCCCTGGGGTATGGAGCCTCAGGTTTGTGGAGTGAGTGAAGTTTGCATTTCTTTGATTCCCCACCATTTTAAATTCAACTCTTCTCCTCGCTTGGTCTACTCCTCACCCAACCCCAGGGTGCCCCACCCCAAAGTGTCCCTGGAGTGCCCAACCCAGAGTGTCCCTGGAGCTCCTAACCCCCGGTGCCCCAAGAGTGTCCCTGAAGTGCCCAACCTTAGAGTATCTCTACCCAGAGAGGGTGGGGATGTTCGACGTAAAATAATGTTCTTGGATTCTTTGGGCGGGTGGGTGCTTCCCCGTCGCTTTAAAAAGCTTCTTCCTGAAACTGAGAATCCTGGAACCCTAAACCCAGCCCTGAAACCCTTCCCCATGCCCTGAAACCCCAAACCCTAAACCCTAAACCCCAAACCCCAAACCCTAAACCCTAAGCCCTAAACCCTAAACCCTAAACCCTAAACCTTAAACCCTAAACCCTAAACCCTGCGAACAACCTGTACGCCAAGGTGTGGTGTCATCCCACCCTCCGGCGGTTTTCCATATTGATTTGATATTCGCTGCTTGCTGTGGAGGTGCCGTAGCCTAGGGGCCTGCAAGCCCTAAACCTCAAACCCCGAACCAAAAACCCTAAACCCTAAACCCTAAACATCCCTAAACCCTAAACCCTAGACCCTAAACCTTCAGGAAAGTGGCTGCCCACAAGAACCACCCCAAATACATCTGAGCTAAGGGTTTTTGTTGGGCACTTTTTTGGGTGGGTCCCGGACGCTAGCGGGTAGTGTAGGATCCGATGATAGCCGTAGACCAGGGTTTAGGGTTTAGGGTTTAGGGTTTAGGGTTTAGGGATTAGGGTTGAGGGTTTAGTGCATTGCACCTTCTCCACTGCGGATGCAGCTTGTCGCTGAATCTGCAGAACCAGCGCGATGCATAGCGCTCCCGGTCCACCCGGGCGGCACGGAGCCGCAAGAAATGGCTCCGTCCGGGTTTAGGGTTTAGAGCTTAGGGCTTAGGGTTTAGGGTTTAGGGTATTTAGGGTTAGCGGTGGGCCAGCAGTGAACATGCCAAAAGCCCTAAAGGCTCGGCTCGTTCTCCGATTTCTTTTGCTAAGAATGTTCCCGACATGCTTTCGAATCCTACTCCCTAGACCCAAAAGCCTAGACGCTAAGCCCTAAGCCCTAAACCCTTGTTAGAGAGCTTCGATTCCAGCATGAGCTCACAAGGGACCCGACCCCTTAAAGTCACTTAAATTATCTATAGGATCCTTAAGGGAGGGGAGCTTCATGCAGGGTTTAGGATTGAGGGTTAGGTTTTAGGGGGGGGAAGGTGCCTTGGGGGTAGGTACCTTGGGAGCCTTGCAGAAGCTTAGGGAAGGTTAGGGAGCTTGAGGGAGTAGTGGGGAGTCTTAAAGAACCTTGGGTTACATACCACCCCTTGAATAACCCCTAAACCCAAACCCCCCCCCCCCCCTTGAGCCCCCCCCTCCCCCGTCTTTCACAGGTTTAGGGTTTGGGGATTAGGGTTTTGGGTTTCGGGTTTGGGGTTTGGGGTAGTCATAGGCCCTCGAGAACTCGAACCCCTGAAGTGTCTGGGGTTCCGGAGTTTAGGGTCTCTAGAAGCAGGGTTTGGGGTTTAGGGTTTAGGGTTTAGGGATGTCGCGGGGTTCTTCGTAGTCCTCCCACAGCGATTGCGTTTTGGAGACCTCGCCTGATCTCTGCATCGTACCCTAAACCGTAAGTTGTTATCCCCAAGCCCTAAAAAATTCTCTGGCGCACCCCGAAACCCTAAACCTAGACCCTAAACCCTAAACCCTAAACCCTAAACCCTCAACCCTCAACCCTCAACCCTCAACCCTAAAACCTACGTAACCCGTGAACCCAAGCTTTCGGCCTTCACCGGGGGGAGCTGTCACAAATTTGCCTGGTGCAGTGCTTTACCTGCAGGGCCCGAGTGGGGCGGTTGCCACCTGGGATCATGTACCTGTACCTGACACCGCCTGACACCGCCTGACACCCTAAACCCTAACCCTAAACCCTAAACCCTAAACCCTAAACCCCAAACCCTAAACCCTAAACCCTAAACCCTAAACCCTACACCATAAAGCCTAAAGCCTAAAGCCTAAAGCCTAAAGCCTAGAGCCTAGAGCCTAAGGCCTAGAGCCTAGAGCCTAGAGCCTAGAGAGCCTAGAGAGCCTAGAGAGCCTAGAGAGCCTAGAGAGCCTAGAGCCTAGAGCCCAGAGCCCAGAGCCTAAACCCTAAACCCTAAACCCTAAACCCTAAACCCTAAACCCTAAACCCTAAACCTTAACACCATAAAGCCTAAAGCCTAAGCCCTAAACCCTGAGGCCGAAACCCCCAAGCTCCCTGTAGCACCCCAAACGAGGAGCTCGCCCTTGGGCCCTCTTCACGAGGGTTTAGGGTTTAGGGTGTAGGATTGGGGCTTAAGGCCTAGGACCCGAACCCTTTAAACCCTCGAGCGCCCGATAACCCAAAGCCCCAACCCCTAAACCCTAAACCCTAAACCCTAAACCCTAATCCCTAAACCCTAAACCCTAAACCCTAAACCCTAAACCCTGAACGCGAGACTATGGACCCTTCCCAGACAAGCGGCTCTTCCCCGCCTGCGGCAATTTTTCTGTGCAGCTGCTGAGCAGGAATTCGGGGCCCAAACGAGGAACAGAATAGACGTGTAGAGGGACATCCCAGAAAGTCCCCTGGTGTAAACCACGCCCAAACCTTGAAACTGCTAAAGCCCAAGAGCCCTCAACCCTCAAACCCTGAACAAACCCGACCCCCGAAACCCGAAACTCTGAACCCCAGCCCTACCCCTAACCCTAAACACTCAACACTCAACCCTAAACCCTAAACCTTAAATCCTAAACCCTAGACCCTAAAGGAATCTGCTCAGGTGCCTTTCTGGGATTCCCAATGAATTCAGCAGGCCTGCGGCCTAAGCGCCGGTGGTCGGCATGTTGACCCTGGAAAAGCCCCAGGGTGCCTGTTTAGCTACGACGGCTCTGGTGGGATGCGCAGTACTGCCGCTTAGGGTTGAGCCCTGAGCCCTAAACAACCTAAACCCCAAACCCTAAACCCTAAACCCTAAACCCTAAACCCTAAACCCTAAACCCTAAACCCTAAACCCTAAACCCTAAACCCTAAACTTTAGGGAGTTTAAGGAGTTTAGGGACTAAGGGACCTTCCTATGGGCCATAACCCTAAACTCTAAACCGTAAATCCTAAACCCTAAACCCCTAAACCCCTAAGCCCCTAAACCCTAAACCCTGAGCCAGTCGGGACCTTAGCGGAAGCAAGCTAAGACCTCGAAACCACTTCGAAAAGACTCGCCGCACCTGCATCGGCAAGAGCCAACTTCGAACAAAGTGCCTTCTTTGCCCTGGGGGGGGGGGGGGGTGGACTTTGAACCCTAACCTAAACTCTACACCTGTTTTTCAGGGGGGGGGGGGTAGAGTCTCTATGGCAAACAGAGGTGCGCCTTTCATTTAGTGGCTTGGCTTAAAGTTTGTCTGGTCCCTATAAACCCTTGAAGCCCTCAACCCTAAACCCCGTAAGCACTCGAATCCCTAAATCTCCCAAGCAATAAGCCAAGCCTTTACCCCTTAAAAGCCCCAAGAACTCTAACCGTAAACCCGAAATCCTGCACAGCCAGGGTTCAGCATTAGACAGGGCTTTGAGCAGTCAACGCATGCTAGCTATGGCCTAGGGTTCTGAGTTTTGGGACCCTGAACCCTAAACCTTG